CCTCCGTGTCTGCAGCTTCCACGTGCTGCCATGTGGTCCCTCTGTCCCACAGAGCGGCTGGCAGCATCTACTGAGAGACAGCTTTATTTTTAAATGCTTTAAAATCTTATTGACTTGTTTGAGAAAGAGAGAGGGAGAGAGAGGTCTTCATATACTGGTGCACTCCCTAAATGTCCACAATGGCTGAGAGTGGGCCAGGCCAAAGCCAGGAACCTGGAACACAATTCAGGTCTCCTACGTGGGTGGTGGGGACCCATCACTGACGCCATCACCTGCTGCTCTCAGAGCGCACATTCACGGACGCTGGAGTCCCGAACCAGAGCCTGGCATCAGACCACTCTGATGTGGGACACCGGCCTCTAATCAAGTGTCCTAACTGCTAGGCCAGACACACACCCCAGCGACAGCTGGAGTCGGCTAATGTGGATGCAGCTTCATAGGCCCACGTCCTGGGATGGAGATTTGTGGAGAAGAAGGGGGAGGTGCCGGAGTGGGGAGAGGAGCGGCCAGCTGTGCTGGGGTCCATCAGCCCTGGCTCCACGGGGACTGGCGCAGGGGCTCCCGTGATGGGGCCCATCTCTGAATGTGGGCTGTCCTGGGAGGGTGTGGGCTTGGATGAAGCGACGCAGCTCCCTAGTGGGGCTGACAGCTGCGTGAGGACATACGTGGACAGCACTCCCTGCAGCCACGGAGTCCACAGCCTGCCTGGAAGGACACATCGGCCACGAGCTTCCTGGTAGTGCTGTTGATCACGGGAAGTAACTGGAATCGACCCAAATATGCACCGTACAGTAACCCCCAAGAACATGTAACAGTAACCCACAAGAACATGAAAACCCGCACACACACCTACTGGAGCTGTCAAGAGCGAGGTTTCCCATCCGCTAACACGAGGACATCTCAGAAAGGAGGGTCAACAGAAACAGCACGTAGAGAAGGAAGCAAGTGCATCACTCTGAGGATTTAAGCACACCAGACTGTTGTCGTGGCGCATAAACATATAGGAAAGATATTAACATATTCATAGGAAGCACAGACACTAACTCATCACAGCGTCTGGGAAGGGAAGGGAGGGATAGGGTCAGGAACGGGGACTCAGAGGCCATCACTGTATCTGTAAATTCTATTTCTTTCAACAAAAACCCTGGGACCAGCTCCGGTGCAGGGGGTTAGGATGCCGTGTGTGACACCAGCATCCCATACAGGTGCCGATTTGTGTCCTGGCTGCTCCAGTGGCCTGGGAAAGGCAGTGGAAGATGGCCCAAGTGCTTGGGCCCCTGCGCCCATGCGAGAGACCTGGAAGAAGCTCCTGGCTTGCATCTGGTCCAGGCCTGGCCCCACTGTAGCCATCTGGGGAGTGAACTGGCAGATGGAAGATCTGACTTGAAAGGTAACTCTACCGTTCAAATAAATAAATAAATCTTAAAAAAATAAAAGAAACAAAATACCCCTGAAATGATATGGCATGATAGCACAAAGCTAGTGTATGATGAGGTTGGATGTTGAGCACTTGGGTGGTCATTATAACAACTTTTTTCTGCATTTGAAAATATTTCATAATAATATTACACAGCAGACTCAGAATGGCAGATGTCCTAATCAGCACTCTGGCCTCAGAATCAGCCCTTAAGGCATTTGGATCTGGCTGAAGAACCCATGAGAGTATTTCAGGCATGGAAAGCCAAGACACTCTGGCATATTGTTTTTGTCTGAATATAAAATAAAAAAAGGAGCACCTAAATGAAAGATCTCTATGAGATCCCAGTGGAAAGAACAGGCCATCAAAGAAGGAGGTACCTTTCTCCGAAAGGAGGAGAGAACTTCCACTTTGACTGTGACCCTGTCTAAATAAGATAGAACTCAGCGAACTCAAAAGGCTTCCATGGCCTTGGCAACTCATGACAAGAGCCTAGGGAGATTACTGACGCCATAAACAAGAGTGTCAATTTGTTAAGTCAACAACAGGAGTCACTGTGCACTTACTCCTCATGTAGGATCTCAGTCCTTAATGTGTTGTTCAATGTGAATTAATGCTATAACTAGTACTCAAACAGTATTTTACAATTTATGTTCTTTGTGGGGGCAAACTGTTGAAATATTTACTTAATATATACTAAATTGATCTGTATATAAAGATAATTGAAAAATGAATCTTGATGTGAATGAAATAAGAGAGGGAGTGGGAGTTAGGAGGGTTGCAGGTGGGATCGAAGTTATGGGGGGGGGAAGGCCACTGTAATACATAAACTGTACTTTGGAAATTTATATTTACTAAATAAAAGTTAAAAAAATAAAAAAGAAAATATTTCATAATAAAATTACTTAAAATACTTGCCCAGCAGGGGAGATAGCAAGATCACAAAGGTGGTTTTCCCAGGGTGAGGCTTATCCGTTACACTCCAGATGTGCTAAGCCCTGCGATTTCCCCAAATGTGGGAAACTCGACTGCATAATTTGTGGTAGTGGGGAAAGGAAAAAAATTACTTAAAATACTAAGCATTTGTAAAACAAAATTAATTACAGCTACGAGCACAGACATGTTTCAAAAGCTATGATAAATTTAAAAAAAGGAGTTCCAGTAGGATATATACAGTAGGATGCCTTCTTCATTTTTAAATAAAATTATATTTAATATTAGTTATGGGTTTATCTCTAGTAGTAGTAACACACAATGCGTTGTAAATGCCTTATAAGTAGTGGTTGTATTGTATTGTTTAGGGAGTGCAAGATAAAAGAAGTCTATATATATTTAATACACATGGAAGTTTGTTTTTTATTTCAGACCCAAAAACAGGTAAACAGAGAAAGAGCGAGCAAGCGAGCATTCCCATCAGCCAATGCCTGCCCCAACGTGGACGTGTTTTGTCCGAACATTTTCTGCCTGTCGCTGGTTGAATCCACAGCTCTGCCCCCAGCCAGCGCAGTGCAAACTGGTGTTGAGAGGCGTCGGGACTTGGTCCATTCCCGGGGACTGCGGGGCTGGAGGACAAGACTGAGGCCGGTGGATCCTGACACGGGGGTCTGGGGAGAGCCATTGTCTTTCCCTTGATCAACACCCCCAGAAAGGACGCCCAGTGCTCAGCTGACCCCTCTGTACTGTTAGCGCTGCAGCCAGGGGCCTTGTGATGCACATACGGGGCCTTTAAAGCCACACGAGAGAGAAAAACGGTCTTTGCTGCCTGCCTGCTGCACAGCCGTCTGTGGCTCCACCATGCACGCTAAGAACTGTCCATGCTGGCGTGGGACTCGCCCACAGCGGGATTGCCTAGCGAGCACAGTAGCTCAGGGGGGCTGAATTCAGGCGGAAGTCTCCCGCGCTCGGCCTGACCTGCCCTCCCTGAACGCATCTCCTTCTCGCCTCAGGACCGACTGTGTCTCCCAGCATGGGGTCGGCTCTTTTCCCTTTGCAGAAAGAAGTGGCCCTTGGGGGAGTAGAAAATAATTCTTTTTAAAATATATATATATTTACTCATTCGAAAAGCAAAGTGAAAGCGAGAAGGGTTAGACACACACACACACACACACACACAGTGTGAGAAAGAGATCTTCCGTTCACTGGTTCACTCCCCAGTCCCCCTCAACATCTGTGGCTGGACTGAGCGGAGGCCAAGAGTGAGGAACACTATCTGAATCTCCCACGTGGGTGACAGGGACCCAAGCACTTGGACCACCATCTGCTGCTTCTCAGGGTCATTAGGCAAGGAGCTGGATCACAAGTGGAGCAGCCGGTGCTGTGACATGGGAGGTGGCTGGCCTAAGCTGTGGCTTACCCTCTGTGCCACAGCACCCGGCCCTGATGATAATCGTCTGTGGCAGAATCACTCACACCGTGTCGTGGCAGCCAGCCTGCTCCTGGTACTCATGGCCTTGTCCCGTTGGCTCCCTCTCAGGTCCCCTACAGTTCATCTGTGTGACCCTTAGTGAGGTCAGGTTGTTAAAGGACTGGGGCTCTGGTCCTGGACTTTGAACCGTGGCCTGCTCGCTCACTGGCTCGCTGGCTCCCGCTCTCCAGTCACTCTGAGCAAAGCCTGCGGCCGGGTTCTGAGCAGCCCTGTGGAGGGCCCGTGAGGCAGGGCCTGAGCAGGCTGGGCAGCGAGCACCATTGTGAACGTGGCAGTCAGCGCCTCCACTCGGCACTGCCACATCCACAGCTTTGGAGAGGCCCTGCAGCTGTCCTGTGTGCCGAGTCCCCCGGCTTTCCTGACCCGCAGGAACCCTGTCGTGGTTATCCGCTTCACAGCCTAATACCTCATGCCTGTGAACTGCATCGCGACTATGAGAGTTTAACAGGCAGCGACAGAGGTCGCCATTGTGGCACAATGGGTTAAGTCACGGTCTGTGATGCCGGCATCCCATACGGGCACCGGTGCAAGTCCTGGCGGCTCCACTGCACATCCAGCTCCCTGCTAATGTGCCCAGAAAAGCAGCGGAACATGGCCCAAGTACTTGGAGCCCTGTCACCCAGGTGGGAGATCCGGATGGAGTCCCTGGCTCCCAGCTTTGACCTGACCCGGCTCCAGCTGTTACAGTCATTTGGGCAACGAACCAGCAGATGGAAGATCTCTTCCTGTGTCTGTAACTCTGCCTTTCAAATAAATAAATAAATCTTAAAACAAACAAACAGATGAACACCATGCAAGCTGGAAGTGATTACAACCCACTGGCACCTGTGCTGTGGCCTTGTCCTCAAGACACCCCGGACACCTGTCCCTTGGTGCCCTAGCCCTGTGCTGCTGGCTGAGTAGCACCATTTGTTGTTCTGTGTGTGTCCACTCGTAAGCCAAAGAGGTCACGTTTGTCCCTGTTCCCACAAGGTTATGCCCAGCCAGGAGCAAGGCTCACCTCACCTCTACAGAGAGTTCCTAGCAAAGCCATTCAATCTTGGGTGTAACACGTCCAGAACAAACTGATTCAAATGCAGGGTGCAAATTTAGTGCGCCGAATTCCAGGCTGCCTGATGACTGCTAACCCTTTCGTTCTGTGTGAACATGTGACTCTCTCCTCCTGCTGATGCTGCTGGCTGCTGGCAGAGGGACGGGCTTTCAGGTGCTGGGCCTGCAAGGAGCTGGCAAAGCTGGGAGGGCGGGAGTGTGTGGCTTTGACACCTGGTCCGGCTGAGTGTGGGCAGAGCAGTGTGCCCGGGAGGCAGGAGGACTCTCTGGGACTAATGGCTGGGCTGCCGGCCGGATCTCCTGGTCACCAAGCGTGGGCAAGAGAGGCTCTCCTCCCCAAACGGGCGCCCACAGGGCCTTTGTGGGTAGAAGCTCAGGACCCCGTACTTGTGCCCTCTCATAAGCGTTCACCCCTGAAATGTGGTGTATATGGAGAGGAGGTACCTCTGTGAAATGACTTTACTTATGTAATTATTATTTGAAAAAAGGGACAGGGAAAAACCCATCCACTGGTTCACTCCACAAATATCCAAACAGCCAGGGCTGGGCTAGGTTGAAGCTGGGAGCCAGGAACTCAACCCAAGTCTCCCACATGGGCAGCAGGGACCCAAGACTTGAGCCATCATCTTCTGCCTCCTTGGGTGCCCATCATCAGGAAGCTAGGATTGGAAGTGGAGCCAGGACTTGAACCCGGCATCCCAAGCTTCCCCTACCCGTGTGAAATCAGCATCGTGAAATCTGGGGTGGGCTGGGGTCTTCCACCATCACGAGAAGCTCGTCTTCGGCATTCTGCCCGTGGAACTTTCAGTCATTTAGAGGGGACTGATGCCGTGGAGCTCAGCGTCTAGTGAGGCAGCTTTTCCTTTTTTGTCTGCTTGATCACCGTAAAGCATTTTATGCTACATGCACAGATACATGTCCACAGCTTTTGCCCAGTGGTTCCGTAGGGGAGAACAGTAATGTTTTCCCACATCCCTGGCAAGGTTTGTGTCTGAGGCACTCTAACAAGAGACAAACATGCACACTTATTTAACATCAGTTCCATGTGACACAGAGCCTCTGGTAGGATGGGCATTTGGCATATCAGGACACGTGCGTCGCACATGGGAGGGCCTGGGTTCAATTCCCGCCTACTCTGCTTCTGCTGCAGTGTTCGGCTAACACTCACCCTGGGAGGCAGCGGTGAAGGCTCGAGTAGTTTGCTGTCTGCACTCATGTGGGAGACCCAGATGGAGTTCCTGGCTCCTGGCTTCAGCCTGGCCCAGCCACAGTTGTGGTGGGCATTTGGGGAGTGAACCAACAGACAGGAGATCTTTTCCTGTCTGCTCTGCCTCTTTCTCTGTATCTCTCTGCATTTTAAATAAATTTAGAAAAAAAACATTTTAAAAACAACTGAACACCTAGAGAAGCAGGTACCCCTGTGTGTCTTCCAGCTCAGGCTGGATGAAGCATGGAGTCAGCCGGGAGTGTGATGAGCCAGAGGCGTGTGGCAGTGTAAGGAACTAGGGGCGCAGAGGCCTGTTTGCTGGGTTCTCCTGGCATCTCTGTCTTTCAGGATGCGGATGTGCCTTCCCTCTGGGGCTAGGAAGGGAGGCACCCTGGGTGAAGGGTCCCTGACCTGCTCTGGGGGAAGCGCATGGAGAAGGTCCTGGGAGTCCCCCTGCTTCTGCTGCTTTCCAGATGCCACGGAGCCGTGTTTGGGGGTACGGTGTCCTGCACCCTGTCAGTTCTCTGTGTGCACTTGGACAGGCATACGGTATACAAAAAGCTTCCCAAACAGTATCCTGCCTGCTACTCCTGCTTAACAAGGAGAAGAGATGAGCCTGACGTTTCATTAGCTCATGAAGAAGCAGACACTGGGCTGGATGTGTTGTGCATCCTATGATTAATCTTCACAAAAAGCCTTCTGAGGTCACTGTTTTCATACCCGTGTTATAGTCAGCACGCTCACAAAGTTTCTAAGTTGCTGAGCTGGGATTAGAACCAGGGCCGTGTGAGTCCTCAGTAGAGGATCCCCCCAGCCCCGGTGCCTTCGCTCCCTGGCACCCCGGGCATCTGGGGCCTTCCCTGGAGAAGCGAGTCTGCCTGAACAGGATCGTCACTGTTAGGACGGAGACCCAGAGGAACAGACACACGGAGGTCAGTGTATGGGACAAGAGAATAGGCGTTCCCACGCCGCGGGACTTGCCTTGAGTGCGCACGTGCACTGCGGAGCCCTCGCGGGAATACCGCTGTTGGGGCACCCTGGGCCCACGCGACTCTCGTGCTCTTTTGGGGGAAGATCTTGCAGAACTGTGGCCACCAGCATGCACTTTGCCAAACACGGCTCTAGACACACCTTCCGTTACTCGCACTGCTTTATAAACATGGTACACCCCACAGAGCGCGATACCTTTCACGACAGTGGCCAGTTCAAAAAAAAACTTACCAGGTATAATTTTAGTTCCATTAGAACAAAATGTTCTTTCAACACACTGATCACTGAGACATTCTTTAGCAGGTTTTTTTTACTTAGTTCCAGAACTCTCCATACAAAGCCATTTGGTCTCTAATCTGATATTGGGGGGAAAAATACACGTATCATCACTAGCCCCTAATATTTTTTGAGCACCAATATTTTAAGGAAAATACCTTAAACAAATCTAAGTATTTTAAAAGTCAAATTTTTAGCGGAAAACGAGGCTGAGGATTGATTTTAAAAATACTGAGTCAGGTTTTTGTGGCCTGAAGCCAGAAATTCTGTCCTTTGTTTTAACTCTGAACAAAGTTGCAAGATGTTATCACTCAAATTCCCACTGGTTTCAAGGCAGTGTGTTTGGGTTTCATACTGACCTGTCTACGAGGATAGATTCAATGTCAGAGCCAAGGTTCCCGACACAGGTGCTATTTTCCCATACTCCTTCCTTGCCATGTATTTGAATCCTCAAAGGTTGAAATCAAACCCCAGTTTGAGACATTTGAAAAATTAATGGCCCAGAATTGCACCTTAGAAATTCAGAATTTCAAAAAATTTATTTGAGAGGCAAAGAGAGGGAGACACAGGCACGCACGCGTGCACACACACACACATACACACACACGATGGAGGGGGAGAGCGAGCGCTCCCACACACTGGTTCACTCCCCAAATGCCTGCAACAGCTAGGACCAGGCTGGGGTTGAGCTGAGGCCCAAACTGGGAGCAGGGAAGTTCATCCAGGTCTCCCACGTCGGGGGCAGGAACCCAACTCCTTGAGCCATCGGCACTTCCTCTCAGGGTCTGCATTAGCAGGAAGCTGGAGTCAGGAGCCAGCACCTGACACTCACCCCAAACACTCTGATACCACCCACCGGGCAAAATCCCTGTTCCGGAAGTTCACACAAGTTTCTAGTATTAAAGTTTGAAGAAAGAACCATAGACTTCCATTTCCAAACCCATCAAACCAGAATTAAACTGCAATGCAGCTGCTGATAAAAAAGCCGCCTCCGATGAAGCCAAGGACTCCGTTCCCAGGAGGGGCCTCGTTCTCCATTTTACCCGTTTACAGCTTCTCCGCTCCCCTGAGCCCATTTAGGAACTCACTGAAGTTGCTTGCCAGCAATCTGACTTTTATGTGAAGCACAGGAAAGTGTCAGGTTGAAGCTGAGAACACTCACCCCTGCTCCAGAGGCCCAGCTGTGGAGAGACCTGTCCCAGATGCTCTGGGGCCCAGCTCCATTAACTCTGAGAACTCGAGTGGGGAAGCGACGGCTCCGAGATTGCAGATCCAACACTGGACAGACGGAGAGACACAGGCTGAGTGAATGACAGAGCCAGGGTGGGTCACAGGGGCTGATGGATGACCGTGGGGTCTATTTTCTGGGAAGAGGGCACCATTCTCTCTTTCCTTCCACATCATGACACTCATAACTCAGATTATGTGAAATTTTCGTCTTTTTTCCTCTTGCCTGTTTTCCTCCAGAATCCGGAAATTCTTGTGAACTGTTTTTCTTTTCAGGGGCCAATCACTGTTTTGTGTGGACGCACTAGGCCTTTGACCCCCCTGGCCGGCAGGCAGGATCGGAAGCCTTGGCAGCCTCACCAAAGCTCGGTGGCCCTGTCACCTGTGAGAAGGCCGCTCCCGGAGTCAGAGCAGAGCACCCTGATGGAGCTGAGCTTGATTTTATGGAGCCAAAGCCTACCAGGCTCTCTTGGGAAAATGCAGCCAGGTTCCTGGCCTTACTGGTAAGGAAGGAGGGTCACGCCCTAGGAGGCCCAGAAACTGTTTGGTATCTGGGGGACCTCAAGAAGAGAGGGCTTTGGGGCTGGTGCTGTGGCACAGCGGGTAAGGTCTCTACCCGCATTTCTGGCATCCCATATGGTTGCCGGTTCGAGTCCCAGCTGCTCCACTTCCAATCCAGCTCTCTGCTGGGAAAGCAGTAGAAGATGGCCCAAGTCCTTGGGGCCCTGCACCCATGTGGGAGATCCAGAAGAAGCTCCTGGCTCCTGGCTTCAGATTGGCACAGCTCCGGCTGTTGCAGCCAACTGGGGAGTGAACCATCGGATGGAAGACCTCTCTCTCTCTCTCTCTCTCTCTCTCTCTCTCTGCCTCTTTTTCTCTCTCTGTAACTCTGACTTTCAAATAAATAAATAAGTCTTTAAAAAATAAAAAATAATTAGCTGTTCCACAACACCAGCACCTATAATAATAATAATAACAATGGCCGGCGCCGCGGCTCACTAGGATAATCCTCCGCCTTGCGGCGCCAGCACGCCGGGTTCTAGTCCCGGTCAGGACGCCGGATTCTGTCCAGGTTGCACCTCTTCCAGGCCAGCTCTCTGCTGTGGCCAGGGAGTGCAGTGGAGGATGGCCCAAGTACTTGGGCCCTGCACCCCATGGGAGACCAGGAAAAGCACCTGGCTCCTAGCTTCGGATCAGCGTGATGCACCAGCCGCAGCGGCCATTGGAGGGTGAACCAACGGCAAAGGAAGACCTTTCTCTCTGTCTCTCTCTCTCTCACTGTCCACTCTGCCTGTCCAAAAAAAAATAAATAAATAAAATAAAAATAAAAATAAAAATTAAAAAATAATTAGCTGTTCCACAACACCAGCACCTATAATAATAATAATAATAACAACAATAATTAAAAAAAAAAAAAAAGAAGAGAGGGCTTTGCCCAAATCTGAAGTCCCACAGGAGAAGTCAGGAGACGAATTCTTGGCTTTGCTTCTAGACGTCTCCCGTCAGGCTCCTTACAAACCCCGCAGCAAAGCCGAGTGGGAAAAGCCCGCAGCAGCAGATTTTCACGCCACACGGTGTTCCCGGCGGCTCCCATGTCCACACCGGTCAGTTGCCTACAATTCACAGAGGCACGATGCACCCAAAGGCTGTGAACAGGGCTGGACCCTGCCAACCTGATCCCCTAGTGCCACGGTCCCTTCGCCACTCACCATTCGCGTTGATCCTTTCAAATCAAATCTCTCAGGGGGGACACGGGGCCCAGCGGCTGATACGGCTGCTTCCCCTGTTAGACTACCTGAGCTCAGTTCCGAGCCCGGCGCTGGACCCCGGCTTCCGACTAACGCAGACCCTGGGGAGCAGTGGTGACGGCTCAAGACGCTGGGCTCCCGCACCCAGGTGCCACACCTGGCCTGCGTCCCAACTCTGAGCTCCCAGCATCAGCCTCAGCCTAGCCCTGGCTCTCAGGGGCACCCGGGGAGCGACCCATTGGAGGGAAGCCTCTTTCTCTGTCTCTGCCTCAAAAATAAATTGAGTGCTTTTTAAAAAAGAATAAAATCTCTCTTTACCTAAATAGGATTTTTTGACACACATGCTTATTTTATTCCCTAAAAGTGCTGAATTATATAGGAACAGGTAGCTTTGTAGTGAAAGTATTTAAATATTAAAGAATGAAAAGTCTCAAAGACTTGCTTATGATGATAATGTTAAAGGTGTACCAAAAATTAGTAGTATAACAGAAGCCCATTGTAATATTCAAACATCTTTTTAAAAAAAGTTTTATTGGGGCCAGTGCTGTGGCGCAGCGGGTTAACACCCTGGCCTGAGGCGCCGGCATCCCATTAGGTGCTGATTTTAGTCCTGGCTGCTCCACTTCCAGTCCAGCTCTCTGCTATGGCCTGGGAAAGCAGTACAAGATAGCCCAACTTCTTGGGCTCCTGCACCCGCGCCAGAGACCCGGAAGAAGCTCCTGTTTCCTGGCTTCAGTTTGGCACAGCTCCGGCTAATGCGGTCAACTGGGGAGTGAACCATCGGATGGGAGACCCCTCGCTCTCTCTCTCTCTGCCTCTCCTCTCTCTGTGTAACTCTGACTTTCAAATAAAAATAAATAAATCTTTTAAAAAAAGTTTTATTATTTTATTTACTTGAAAGGCAGAGTGTCAGAGACAGGGAGAGACAAAGAGAGGGAGAGGTCTGCCATCCATGGGTTCACTCCCCAAATGACTGAAAAGGCCAGGGCTGGGCCAAGCTGGAGCCAGGAGCCAGGAGCTTCATCAGGGTCTCCCACATGCCTGCAGGGGTCCAAACATTCAAGTTGTCCTCGGCTGCTTTTCCGGGCCTGTTAACAGGGAGCCGGATCAGAAGTGGAACAGCTAGGACTCGAACTGCAGGCCACATGGGATGCTGGTGCCACAGGTAAAGGCTTAACCCTCTGTGCCACCGTGTCGGCCCCTTCTCCATGGGACCGTTTTGAAGTATCCCCAGGACTTACGGACCAAGATGGAAGTTCTAGTGTGAGTATAAATACTGACGTTTTTCAACACTAGAGTTAACTCATTTTCTAAAAAGTGTAGTCTATTTTTTTTTTTTTTTTTTTGGACAGGCAGAGTGGACAGTGAGAGAGAGAGAGACAGAGAGAAAGGTCTTCCTTTTTGCCGTTGGTTCACCCTCCAATGGCTGCCGTGGCTGGCTTGCTGCTGCCGGCACACCGTGCTGATCCGAAGCCAGGAGCCAGGTGCTTCTCCTGGTCTCCCATGGGGTGCAGGGCCCAAGTACTTGGGCCATCCTCCACTGCACTCCCTGGCCACAGCAGAGAGCTGGCCTGGAAGAGGGGCAACTGGGACAGAATCCAGCGCCCCAACTGGGACTAGAAACCGGTGTGCCAGTGCCGCAGGCAGAGGATTAGCCTAGTGAGCCGTGGCGCCGGCCCAAAAGTATCGTCTAGATACATTAGTTTCTTAAAAACTCAGTTCAAAACTGTTCTGTGTGATGCCAAGTAAACACCTGTCGTTATTCATTTGTTGAGGCTCACTGAGGGCAGAGCACACCGAAGGTGGCCTCGAGCGGTGGCCGGGGCTACGCGGAGATGCTGCTCCCTGGCTGGGAACCAGCAGGCAGGTTGTCCCTGTGGGAGGCGGGGGTGTCAGGTCGGGGGTGGGGGCCTCTGCATTTCTGCTCGGTTTTGCTCTGAACCTAAAACTGGATTAGAAATAAAATCTATTAATTAAAAAATAAGTGAACAAAACTGGAACCTAAACAATTACATTCATTCTTCTCATTCACACAACAAACTGATTTTATACTGTTCTATAAAAAGGATGTGATGAAATGGAAAACTTCTGAACTGAGTGCTAAATAATTTTTGCTCAGTCGAAATGACATGGGCAAGGCAGGGAGGCGTGAGGAGCTGAGGGTGGCCAACACCCCAGCCGCGGGTGCCACCCCAATCCCAGCACCCTCCCTGCTGATTCACCCACCCCGCATTCTGCAGCTAAGCCTCACCCTACAGCAGGCACCAGGGGCCAGGACACCTTCCTGGAGACAACCACACAGCCCGACCCCAATCCTGTCTCCTTCGGATCCTCAGTCAGGCCCTGCCCCAGCCTCGGTGGGGGGCACTCACATGTGAGTGTGTACTGTGAAATCCTGCTTTTCTGTTCACTTCTACCCACGTCTCCCGGTTGCCTTCTTACATGCACGAAGACCAGGAGCAGGACGTAGTCTAGGGGGTCTCTCTGAACCTAGCCAGCATTCTCAAACCCCACAGCACAACCACATGTGTGAAGAAAGCCTTGGGCTGGTGCTGTGGCATGGTGGTTAAAGCCACCACCTGCAAACAGGTATCCCATATGAGTGCCAGTTCATGCCCCAGCTACTCTACTTCCCATCCAGCTCCCTGTTGATTGCCTGGGAAAGCAGCGAAAGATGGCCAAGTATGGGGCCCCTGCACCCATGTGGGAGACCTGAGTGAAGTTCCCAGCTCCAGGCTCTGGCCTGGCCCAGCCATCTGAGGGGTGAATCAGAAGATGGAAGATCTTTTTCTCTCTCTCTCTGTCTCTTCCTCTCTCTCTGTAACTCTGAGTTTCAAATAAATAATTCTAAAAATAAAAAGCCTAATTTAAACTTGATACTATCAACAATATCCCCTTAGAAAAGCAGTTTATATAACTGTTAAATAAATAAAACTAATAGGGGGCCAGTGTTTCAGACTAAGCTCTTGCATGGGACCCAACGGATCACATGAAAAATCAAAATGGAGTCACTCATGCTAATGTTGCCGTCAACAGGCAGGAGCTAAGCTGTTTATCTGAGCTTCTGAGAAGTCAGGATGAGAGAGGAAGTGGCCCAGTTTCCCACATGGGAGATGCAGACGGAGCTCCTGGCTCCTGACTTCGGCCTGGCCCAGCTCCAGCTGTCTTGGCCATTTGGGGAGTGAACCAGCGACTGGAGGGTCTCTCTGTCACTCTGCCTGTTGGGTAGATGAAAACAAATAAACATGAAAAATAATTTCACCATACTTTCATTATCAGTCTCTAGGTGCTCTGTGTGAGATCTAATTGCAGATTTTCCAAAGCCTGGGCCATCAGCACTCCAGCATGTGCCTGGCCACGGCAAGGCGCTCATCTGCTGCCCATGGATCGCACCGGGCAGGACTAAGGTGCCTGAGGTGACCTGCTCTGAGTGCAGGTGCACTGTTTGGAAAGAACCGAAAAACCGTAATAAAAACTTGACCATGCAATGGCAAGTCTGAAGTGCCACTGATATAATACTTGTCTCTAAAAAAAAATTTATTTAAAAAAAAAGATTTATTCATTTATCTGAGAGGCAGAGTTACAGACAGAGAGAGGAAGAGACAGAGGTCTTCTATCTGCTGGTTCACTCCCCAAATGGCTACAACGGCTAGAGCTGGGCTGGTCTGAAGCCAGGAGCCCGGAGCTTCCTCTTGGTCTCCCACGTGGGTGCAGCGGCCCATCCTCCACTGCTCCCCAGGCCACTGCAGAGAGCTGGACTGGAAGAGGAGCAGCTGGCACTCGAATTGGTGCCCATATGGGACGCCCATGCTGCAGCTGGAGGCCCAACCTCCTATGCCACAGCACTGGCCCCGCTAAAAACAAAACAAAACAAAACAAAACAAACAAAACGTAAGCGATCAGCAATTGTTGCAAACCAGTGAAGAAAAAGTGCGTGCTCCTGACTCGATCTTGTAAGTGCTCATGGGAGCTGTGCCCACTGACAGGGACCCTCCTGAGGTGTGTTCCAAACGCCTTCTCAGAGGACACCAGTGGGGCCCCTCTATTCGAGAAACGTACTCAGAGACGCCTTGAATGGCTGGCCTCTCTGCAAAGACAAAGCCACTACAACTTGGAGGTCTTTGCTGGCTTTTTGGGTGATTCTAGACTCGGGCAACACTTCATTCCGTGAGCCAGGTGGGGGTTCTCAGAGCTGGCGTTCACCATCATTTTACAGTCAGCTTCGTGGACCAGCGAGTGCTGGACGGCTGGCCCTGGGTGCACTGGCCCCCGCGACACCGGTATTCCTGCCTCTCTGCGTGGTAGATCTGGAATGAGGGCTGATGGTGATAAAAGGAAAATTCTGAGACATCCCAGAAGTAGTTACAAAGCCCAGAGACAGGAAGAGATAAGGAAGTCGGGCAGTACACAGCTGTGGGGGAACCCACCCAAGCCTGTGGGTGTCTGCTGAGCCCTTGACTGAGGCCGGCCAGCAGGGCCACCCGAACGCCCTGTTTACACATGGACTTCCCCGACTCGAGACCCAGCCCACCCCAAGGCGACAGCCTCTCCGCTACGCCCCTCCCCCAGCGCTCCCAGCCTGCAGCCCTCCTGACCCTCTTAGCCACAGCTCGTGAAGGCTTGGGGCGAACCGCAGACGCTCTCCTTCCCACGTTTTCTAGAACCACTCACGAGTCCCCCCAGGCCTGCTGCTTGGACCCAGCACCTGCTCCTTCCTCGGGGGCTCGCAGCTCCACAAAAGCTTTTAATTCAGAGCTCCCTGGGTCTCAGGAGTTTTGGGCTGATCAGATGGTGGCTCAAGCACTTGGGTCCCTGCCACCCACATGGCAGACCCGGATGGAGCTCCTGGCTCCTGGCTTCGCCCTGGCTCAGCCCTGGCTCAGCCCTGGCTCCTTCAGGCTTCTGGGGAGTCAAATGGGGAGTAAAGTGAATGGAAGAGCTTTCTCTGCCTTTCAAATAAAATTAAATCAACAAAAACATAAAAAATTGTACTCGTTAGAGTTTTCCACTTTGGTATACAATCATTATGTTATTATTTATTTCATTAGCATTTTTGTATATACAAAGTACAAAAAATAAAATTTCACTCTGAGTCTGCCCACGGTTTCATTAATTTGATTTCATGATTATTACTGAAAATAGTTTTGTTGTAAAGTGCATTAGAGGTTTAATAGTGAGCAGCTCTAGACAGCAAAGTATACCCTTGATCACGCCGAAAAGTTAGCACTAAGTCCCTGTTGTCACCGACATCTAACTAAAAGGGACTTTTCAGAGTTTACAGAACCTGGTCAGGTTGAGGAGGGGGACATTTGACACGTCTACTTTACTCCCCTAGAAAACAGATCAGAACTGGAGAGGAGGCACAGAACAACTGCAGGTTAACAGTCTGATGATAGTGACAACGAAACCACAACAGCGCCGCCTTTGCAGAGGCCTTGCTAACCGGCCTGGTGGAAAATAGTTCCTGCAGAATTTTACAGCCTCCTTCCACCCACACATAAAGCACTGCGCCTAACAGCAGGGCATGATTCCGGGGCCGGGGGCGGGGGCTTTATGAGTCGGCAGGAGGTGGGGACTCTGGGCTGCAGCCCCGGGGCCGGCCCTGATACCCACAGACTGCTGGCAGCAAGGCAGCCATTCTAGGAGCTACCAAACGAGGCCACTGGTTTACAGGAGGCCACTGGTGTGGGCTGAGCTCCTGCACTGGGCTCACGACACCAAACCAAAATGGAGGCACGCTTGCTGGAGCTCCAGGCTCCAAAGCCGGTTGTTTATATGCCTTTCAGAGAAATCAGGATAGAGGAAGGGGGAGGGAGGGAGAGAGAGAGACAGAGACAGAGAGAGAGAGAGAGAGAGAGAGAGAGAATAGCAACAGGCAGAGCCGGCTGGCGCGGTCAGGAAGCCCTCTCAGCCTTCACTCCACCGGCGCGGTGACTCTGAAGTGACCGGGCTGCCTTTTGTTCTCCTTCCTGGTTTCCTCAGCCCTTCCCTGTCCCCAAGGCCACCTCCTCGGTCAGCTCCTGGGAACAGGCATCCTGTTTTAGAAAAAGAGGCGCCGCCCGTTCTGAAGTGGCATGTAAAAGCCAGTTGGGATCCGCAAGGTTGCTGCGATTTTGTTTTTGGCAGAGGGAAGGATGTTTCCTTTCTAGTGCTGCCTCAAGAGTCCCGAAGGTTCCCGACAAATGGAAAAGGTGTTCTGTTCCTTCCTCGGCCCTTGAGTGGGAGGAGGAGCCGTGGGGCTTTGTGTCACATTCGGCCCACCTGCTCCTTTCCCGTGCCAGGGGAGGGGCCCGTGCCTGCCACCTGGGCAGGTTTTCTTCTTGGCAGAGTCGTTCCCTATCCTAGCGCCTCGGGGCCTTAGCCTGACAGTCGGGACTAGTGGGATTCCCTCCCCATCACTGGCACCCTGTGCCTCCCCCTCCCCAACCTACCAACCAGCCTCTAAGGGAACTACAGCAAAGGCACTGCCCAGGTCTGTCTCACGAGCATCCTCCATCACTCCACTGCACCTGCAGAAGCAGACCTGGGGGAGAGAGGACTCACAGAGCCTCATCCACCTCTCAGGTGGGCACGGCCAAGGCTGGGTTTCATCCAGGCCCTGGGAGCCTGGAGAACAGCCATGGTCGAAGAAATCCCCTCTTTGTGCTGCTGCTGTGGGTTTACGGCACAGAGCCAGGCATCTCCCCACGGCTCAGATAAGACTCACAGGTGCTCCTCCTGCTCACCTGGGATGAGGCCAGACTCCTCTTCTGCGTCCAGCTGGCTTGCTGTCCTGCTGAGTCCATAGAACCTCGGCTGGAACAGAGTACGTGTGAACCACACCTAGGCAGGAGTCTCCTTCCCTGGACCCCAGAGCCAGCCCACGACCCCCTCAACAGCTGCTGAGGCAGGCTGGTTCTAGGCAGGTAGGCAGAGCAGAGGTAGCAATCCAGGGCCCCAGGAGGGAGTAGCAACCGACAGTGGAGGAACAGGGAGTCCAGGGCATGAGCAGCCCACAGCCCAGCCGGAGAGGGAGGCCACGTGGCTTTCAGAGGGAAGCGGCGCAGAGGCCCAGCACAGCGCTCTGGCTGTGGCCCGCGAGTGACGTCAGCAGGTCCAACTTCACCCGTGGGAAGTCGGGAAGGTTGTGCAGGACAGCTGGCAGCAAGGCTGCTTGCGGAGAGGGGGATCAGGGAGACGAGAGTGAGGCAGACACAATTTCAGAAACAAATTTATTTACTTGAAAGCCATAGTGACAGAGTGAGAGAGACAGAGACAAAGAGAGACAGAGGTCTTCCATCCACTGCTTCACTCCCCAGATGGCCACAACACTTCAGGCTGCGTCAGGCTGAAGCCAGAAGCCTGAAACTCCATCTGGGTCTCCCACATTAGTGGGAGGGTCCCAAGCAATTGGGCCATCTTCCCCAGCTTTCCCAGGCCAGAATCAGGGAGCTGGCTGGGCAGGGGAGTGGCTGGGACCTGAGCCGGCACCCATGTGTGAGGGTGGCATGGCAAGCGGAAGCCTAACCCACTGCACCACAACACCAGCCCCAGAAACACCTTCACTACATTGTTTGGTATTTTTTTTTTTTTTGCTTTCTGCTTATTTAGCAATTAATGTAAACAAGCGAACCGACAAGGAGATGGATCCACATCATCCAAGTGTGGAAGAGAGCATGACTGACAGCACGTTGCACCTGTAAGAGCAAACACACGGGAGCTGGCATCGTAATGGGGCAGGGTAAGCTACCACCCGCAGTACTGGTTTGAGTCCTGGCTGTCCCCTTCTGATCCAGCTCCCTGCCGATGCACCTGAGAAAGCAGTGGAAGATGGCCCAAGTGCCTGAGCCCTTGCACCCACACAGCAGAAGGGGATGGAGTTCTTGGCTCCTGGCTTTGGCCTGGTCCAGCCCTGGCCATTGTGGCCACTTGGGAAGTGAAACAGTGGCTGGAAGATCTCTCTCTGTCTCTCCCCCTCTCTCTCTGTAACTCTGCTTTTCAAATAAATATGTAAGTCTTAAAAAAAAAAAAAAAAAAGAAAAACAACAACAATAAAACAACCACTCCCATCCCCAAAAGGAAGGTGGGCAGGGGGAGAAAGAAGGGAATCTGATTGACAGTGCCCCGCAGCAGAGTGTGTGGACAGACGGTGGAGATGCACCCCTGCACCCGGTCTCTACGTGCAGGAGAAGAGCCATCTTTTGTGCTTTGTGCTTTAATAGCCAGTCAATCGAGCAGGACTAATGACTGTGAGGATACTCTCTGAAATCTAATCAAGTTTTGGTTTTTGTGGGTGGAATTCTGATGGGGGCTAGGCTTGTGAGGCCTTGGGTTGCAACCGGCTTGGCACTAACACAGGGACGCCCCACCGTGAGCAGGTCAGCTCCTCTTTGTCTCATCGCCTGCAGCACTTCCGCTCACTCTCAGGCTAGGGCTGGACTCAGTGTGGGCGGTGCCCTTGCAGAGCCACGGTGACCTCTGTCACTCTCTGGTTTGACATGGCAAGCACGGGGGTGTCTTGTGTGGCTCAGGACAGGTGTGACCTGGCACAAAGCAGTTTGAGCACAGCCTGGGGTGAGCGGAGCTGGAGATGCTGGGGGCCGCTCTCAGACTGAGTTGGAGGGTAGCCCACAGGGGGAATGCCACCTCCTGCAGACCAGGCTGCACTGCTCACTCACTGGGCCAGCCTCACAGCAGACATCCTTACCTCTTGCAAAAAAGATTTTTATTCATTATTTATTTGAAAGACAGGATGACACAGAGAGGGGAAGAGGGGAAAGAGAGATACATAGAGAGAAAGAGCTTCCATCAACTAGTTCTCATCCCATATGCGACAAAAAGTGGGGCTGGGCCAGGCTGAAGCCGGGATCCAGGAACTCCATCCAGGTTTCCCATGTACATGGCAGGTTCTCGGACCATCCTCTGCTGCCTCCTCAGGTGCATTAGCAGGGAGCTGGATTGGAAGAGGAGCAGCTGGGACTCGAACCGGTGCCCATATGGGATGCCAACGTCACAGGTGGCGGCTTTACCCGCTATGCCACAGTGCTGGCTCCAGATCCCTAATTCAACACCTTTGGACAACCTCCCCTACCACTTTTTTTTTTTTCAGTTTGGAAGACAGAGACAGAGGTGTGGGGACAAGGAGAGGTCTTTCATCTGCTGTTTCACTCCCCTGCAGCTTGCGGCTGGACAAAGCCAGGAGCCTAGCACTCAGTCTGGTTCTCCCACCCAGTGGCAGAGATCCGAGTGCTTGAGCCATCACTTGCTGCCATCCAGGGCGCACATTAGCTGGATCAGAAGCAGAGGTGAGACTCAAACCTAGGCACTCTCACAGTGTCTCAGCCACCGAGCTACACGGCCACACCTAAACATCCTTCTTTTGATCCCCTTTCAAAATCAAAGGAGCCAAGAAAAGGTGGTGAGATCAAACGACAACCCCAGGAGTTACCAAGCAGGGCTGTCCTCTATCTGCCTTATTCCTTAATTGATGCTTCCTTAATGGGAGGCCGCGTTCTGACGACTGCCACGCCATCCCTTCAGCCAGTGCTAATGGCACAGCTGTGCCTCTGTGTGCTTCTGACGCAGCTTTAATAACACACAGCCCAGGAGGGCTCCGTGGGCCTCCTCCCCCAAGCCCCCAGCTCCTGACATGCTTGCGTGTCGGCGTCTGCCACAGTTGAAGGAACCGCGTACGGCAGGTCAGGCTGTGCAGAGCCTGGCTGTAGCTCGTGCGGTGGATTCTCTCTGGCAGGCACCTCCGGAGATGATGCTGTGCAGAACCACGCGTCCCACTGGAGCGGCACAGAACTCTCGCTCTGGCTGGGCGGCCGTGCTGAGGGTACCTGCTCTGACAGTGTTCCAGGACAGGCCACGCGCACCAGGTGCTGCCCGGGCACGGCTGCCAGGAAGATGCGCCCCAGGCAGCTTGGCAAATCTTGGCATTTCCTGAGGCTTTGCACCAGGCCCTGGAATGGAAGGGCAGGTGCTTCCTGGGGGGAAACCCTGGCTTTTGCCCAAGTGTTGTGCAGGCCACTTAGCCTCAGAGCACAGAATTTGGGCCGATGCCTCAGAGTGCCTAATCAGACGTCAGCCCTTGCTGCCTACCCACCGGGTTTACAAGAGTTACATGTTTCCTTCAGTCAGCAACATAAAATCCTAGCAGTCCAGATTCTGGCTGAATAGACTGCACGAGGGACTGGCTGTCCCTCGGCTTTTTGGAGTGTGTTAAGGTCCGTGTGTGCATCACGTCATGTCACTCTTAGTCTCTGTGTCGATGTGACGCTGATGTCGCCCTCATTTAGAGAGGGTGAGGACTGTGCTGTGACACTGTCCAGATATTGCTAAAATGTCCTCCACATGCCCTGCCAAAGGGATCACGCGATGGATTTCTTCTAGGGTTTAGCACTGGGGAAAAATCATCCCCTCAAAAACTAGGTTAAGGCTGCGTCTGCGACATCGGCATCCCATGTGGGTACCGGTTCCTGTCCTGAATGCTCCACTTCTTCTTCTTCATTTTTTTAAGATTTTAATTATTTGAGAGGTACAGTTACAGACAGCAAGAGGGAGAGACAGAAAGGTTTCCATCTGTTGGTTCACTCCCCAAATGGCTGCAACAGCTGTAGCTGGGCTGATCCAAACCCAGGAGCCAGGAGCTTCTTCCAGGTCTCCCATGCGGATTCAGGGGCCCAAGGGCTTGGGCCATCTTCTACTGCTGTCCCAGGCCATAGCAGAGAGCTGGATTGGAAGAGGAGCAGCCAGGATTAGAACTGGCGCCCATATGGGATGCTGGTGCCCACAGGCAGATTACCTACTGTGCCACAGTGCCAGCTCCGATGCCCCACTTCTGATCCAGCTACTGCTATTGGACTAGGAAGGCAACGGAAGATGGCCCAAGTCCTTGGGGCCCTGTACCCACATGGGAGACCCCGAAGAAGCTCCTGGCTCCTGGCTTCAGCCTGGTCCAGCTCCAGCTGTTGTGGCCGCTTGGAGAGTGAACTAGCAGATGGAAGACCTCTCTTTGTCTCTCTCTTTGCAACTATGCCTCTCAAATAAATAAATAAAATCTTTTTTAAAAAATTCTTCATTCTGAGTTCAAATAATTACCTATCTGGTCTTCTTTAGTTCTACAAAAGCTTAATCTTTTCCACTTGGCTCTGAAAAGTATGTCTTAGAGATTACAGAATGCATGCAAAGCAGGCTATGGTTCCAAAATAGCAATGGGGAGTCTGGAGGTTTGAAGCAGTATGAAGCTTCCTTGTCTGCGAAAAAATGATGATTTCAGTGTTACAATTTTCAAAATATCTTCTTTGGTTTATTTCTAGGTATCTTTGTTTTTATTGCTATTATAAGAGGTCCTTTTCCTTATTGGATTCTTTGGGTCAGAATACAGGAATGCGGGGCCAGCGCTATGGCCCAGAGGGTAAAGCCATTGCCTGCGACACCTATGGGTACCGGTTCAAGTCCCAGCTGCTCCACTTCTGACCCAGCTCCCTGCTGATGACCTTGGAAGGCAGCAGAGGATGGCCCCAACTGCTTGGGCCCCTGCACCCATGTGGGAGACCCAGAAGAAGCTCCTGGCTCCTGGCTTCAGCCTGGCCTAGCCCCAACTATTGTGGCCATTTGGGGAGTGAACTAGTAGATGGAAGAGCGTGCGCTCTCTCTCTCTCTCTCTGTCTCTCCCTCTGTAACTCTACCTTCCAAATAAAGATGTGTCTTTTTAAAAAAAAGTCAGAATGATATGATGCAAATGGGCAGGGAGTTAGACCTCGAGGAGCTGAATTCTTGCCAACCCTGCACTCCCATCACTTCGCCTGTCAGTATAAACACCCACCATCCCAGGCGCACCGGGTCTCATCAGGACCAGGAGAGGAAACGTCACGATGACCGCGTGCACGTTAGACTGCAGGCAGAGGTGCCACAGGAGTCTTAGATGGCTTCTCCCACGCTAAGTCCTCCCCCGTTTGTTTACTCAACTAAGGCAATATCTCTCACTTCATGAAAGAGACTGAGAATGGAGGGCAGCCCTATTTTTTGTCCCTAAGGATGACCGGGCTTTCCCTCCTTTCCTCCCTCCTTCCCCCCTTCCTCCCTCTTTCTCTGTCAACAACCCTGGGACCCGCGTGTGTTGGGTATTCACACGAGGCAGCCCACACTCACCTGTAAATGTGTGTTCACTCTCTAACCTTTTCAAGAAAGCCCGCCCGTACTTTGCACCCTGTATTTGCCTCTGCTGAGAGATCGTAGACTCTGTGGGGGGCAAGAACTGGGGTTGGAAACGGGGGTACCAGGCCCACATCAAAAACGACCACGACAAAACCCCAGAAGACACAGAGTCTTTCACACTCACTCCCAGGTGCTCAGTGCACAGCCCAGAGCCTGTCAGCCAGGAGACTTCTCAGCTAGCATCTGCTAACGATAGAGAGCTTACTACAGCCTCGCTTCTGCCTCAGAGTACCCCCGAGAGCCACTCACACTCAGACCAGGAACCCGCACCCCACCTCTTATGCCTAAATAAGTCCTGAGTCACCCCCTCATCTATAATTGACGTCGCCACAGGTGGCTGTCTGGAATCCTCATCTCTCACCCACACTCCCCTCACTGTCCTTGTACCCGCAGTGTCACTGGGACAGGTGATGGGGGGGTGGGAGGGCCCATCCCCGGGTGGGAGGGCCCATCCCTGCCACCTTCACTTCCTCCCCGGACCTCCTCAGTGGACAAACACAGAAAGTGTCCTCTCCCTGGGGCCCGTGCTGCCTCTGCAGCTGTCTCTGTGTTGGGTTCCGCCCCTGCCCTCCCAGGAAGGATCCTTTTGTTTTTCCTGGGCCCCTGGCTGGCTCAGGGCCCAATCTGGCTGTGCTTTTGTCTCTGCAGCCCCAGTGCCACAGCCAGGGTCAGGCGTGGGCGCTGGGATTGCTTCCTTGTGTCTGGGGCAACTCCTGATCTCTGGGGCTTTGTTGGGAGACCTGGGACGAGCCCAGTCTCTGCACACACGGCGCCTGTCTCACCCTCCTCCCACTCTGAGAAACACCCTAAGCGTCACTCATCCCCCAAGCCCTGTCATGAATATACGTCATTTTGGCAGGCTGCCCGCCTCCAGCTGGCCAGGCTGATAGGAAAGGGTGGGGAGCAGCCCTGACTCCAGGGTCAGCCCTCAGAGGGGGGCTCCGGCTGCACACTCCATGCAGTTCCAGCTTCCTGCTCAGAGCTCAGGTCTGGGGGGGGTTGCTGGAAAGGCATTAGCTGGCCTTAGACTTCACCCGGGTCGTGGCCGAAGCAGGAAGAGGAGGAGGAGGAGAGGGCACAGTGGCCTTGCTGGAGGAAGCATGAGACTGAGCTGCTCCCAGTGGGCCCCGGCCAGCCCTCCACATCCCCCTCTGGCACCAGACCCCACAGGCCAAGTGAAAGGCTGGAGCTGGGAGGGACCAGGCGCCGTGGCCGCAGGTCAGTCGAGCCTGGTCACAGTGGAAAGAAGCCGACATCAGCCACCCTGGACACCCCACACAACAGGAAGGCAGCTGACCCACACCCTAGATGTCCGGCTTCTCATCCAGGGTCACGCTGGTGCTGTCTTGGGGCAGCAAGGACCGTAGAAGTCAGAGGGATGCCTGCCTTGATCCAGGAGGCTGTTCCCCAGAGGCCTTGGCCGATGGTTGTGAAGTGGGCAGTGAATACACTGATTTCCCATCCAGGTTCTTGCCTCCTGCGGTGACAGAAGTACTAAGTGGAGACTGGTATAAACAGACATTCACACACAAGTGTGGGGGGCCCACACTGAGAGATCCCCAACATAAGTGATCCCCAACATAACTGCCCATAAACTAGAGAGAAAAAAAATACCCAGAAAATGGTGTCTATAATTGGGAGGGTCCACCTGGCTCAGCAGCGCAAGACAGCAGAGAGTGGCACGTCCCAGTGCGTTCTGCAATGGAACGGCAGAAATGGGCTGTACCCCTAACCAATGAGATAGGCACCCTGACCAAGGCCCAGCGCGGAGAGAGCTCTCTCCCACCTTCCACCTCTTTTTGTAAGGCTAGGGTATGGTGCCCCAGTTGGATATGCAAACGTGGCAGGGGTGGGGAGGCTGTGAGCACACGCCCTGGTCCTGGAAGTGACAGGTGCATCCTGGGAAGGTGGGCATATCAAATCGCCAGTTAAAGAGACAGCGTTGCATTGCAGGGGTACAAGAATTCCAGCTCGCCTGAAGTAACTGCCCGACTGCTTATCCCACGTCAGTTATAGGTCTCGGGCAGGGGTTTTGACCTCTGTCCTCCCCAGTGCTGTACCTATAAATACGATGTCTGTTGTGTGTATTTGAAAGAGTTACACACACATTCACACACGAACGGGGGGAGGGGGAGGGGAGAGGGGGTGGGGAGGGGGAGGGGAGGAGGGAGAGGGGGAAGGGAGAGGGAGAGGGAGAGGGCGAGATACACTGGTTCACTCCCCAAATGGCCACAACATCTAGGGGCTGGGCCAGGCCTAAGCCAGGAGCTTCTTCTGGGTCTCCCACATGGGTGCAGGGGCCCAAGCACTTGGGCCATCTTCTGCTCTTTCCCAAGCACATTAGCAGGGAGCTGGATCAGAAGTGGATCAGCTGAGACAAGAACCAGTGCCTGTTTGGGATGCCGGTGTTTCAGGTGGCAACTTTACCTGCTATGCCACAGCGCTGGCCCCTGTATGACACATTTTAAAAAGGGGTGTCATTTTGGGGCATGACTGATTTGCTGGTTTTCCAGCTTGGGGTATGTCAGACGCACCTGCAGCGTGGCTGGCCCCTCTTGCAGAGCCTGTGGCCAGCAGCTCCGTGCAGGCCTCACCCACTCCTGGGAGATGCTGATATGGCTATCCAGGGAAAGCTCTGGGAAAACCACTACATTTCCTGCACCAGTCTGCTACCGTGCCCTCTTGGTCGCAGCTCTGAGTGTTAGGAGCAAGGTGCACAGGGGCCTCCTCCAGCCTCTTGGGCGGCTGGCTCTGATTGCAACCCAGAGCAAACCAGGGTTCAGACATCAAACTGCAGGGAACGAGTGCGTGGCACCCCAGGGTAGAACACCCACAGGATGGCCAGCATTCCGTCATTTCTGCCTCACACGTGCATCCTGCCTGGCTCTGCTCTGCTCCCCGGCCACACCCAGAGAACAAAAGCTGTCTGCTTCCACCCCAGAGATAAGGGGCCTGGCAGGCTGCAGAATGGGAGCTATTCAGTGGCATGAGATTCTGGTGCTGATCATAAAAGAATGGCAAACATCCACAGTGTCTGTCCTGGTGGCGCAGGAGGGATTTAGATTCCTGTGGGCGACCAAGAGTGGCTTCTTTAATGCCAATGCGATTTCCCTCTGGGTATTTTTTTTTTTGAGCTAGAACTTCCGTGACTATTTCACGTGGATTCACAATCGGTTTCTTAGGATGGACCACCGGAGCACACCTCCAGGTGGCTATAAACCCGAAACACGAGCTGACAAGGTGCAAACGGTGAACTCTCACGATGCTGACTGATGGTTCACTTTCCTCCGAATCTCTTTTGCTTTCTTCCTAGGTGCACCTCTTTGTACAACGTGGTTTGAGGAACACCTGGGACAATGGATTGACACAGAAGTCTAGGAGAGCCGGATGGACTGGTTTGACCACGGTTAGCCAAGGCTTTCTTCCTACAGTGTCCCTTCTGTGAAGTCACAAAGTTACTGTTTGTATCACAGACTTCCTCAAGTGGTTACTTCTTCCCTGACAGTTCCTCTGATTAGAACAGGTGGAGTTTCTTTTTTTATTTTTAATTCATCCTCCTAATCTCTGAGTATTATTTATCTTGAATCTGCTTCATCTACTATTCAGAATGATTGCACTGATGCATACAATTTAGAAGGGAGTTGATTTAAATAAAGTTCATTTAAATTTAAATTTGGATTACTACGCTGAAAGATGGAAGGTAATGTTTGACTGCATCTCCCTATCTTTTATTTATTTAACTTTAATAAGGTTCTCAACTCATAACTGAAAGCAGTTTCATTTTTAGAAGGCCTATGCATTTTTAAAATAAAAAAGTGTTAATTTTATTTCAAAGGCAGAGAGAAAGAGAGACAGACAGGGAGAGATCTTCCATCCACTGAATCACTCACCAAATGCCTTTCAAAGCCAGGGCTTGGCCAGGCCAAAGCCAGGAGCCAGGAACTCAGTCAGGCCAGGTCTGCCGCATGGGTGGCAGGGATCCAAGTACTTGGGCCATGGTCTGCTGCCTCCCAGGAAGCTGGGTGGCAGTAGAGTAGCTGGGACTCAAACCAGGTACTCTGAGATGGGACGGGGGTGTCCCAAACAAGGACTTAACTACTGCAGCACAAGCCTGCCCTGACACAATGCATCCAGTGGTGATTAGTTTAGTAACTTTTTCAGATTATGCTTGCTGTCTAATTAGGAAATGAAACATTCGAAAGAAAGAGTTCTGGATTTATCGACAAGTTTTTGTTGTTATTCTTTTTCACCTTTCATTTGAAAGGCAGAGAGACAGAGACAGTGATAACACTGGTTCCCTCCTCAGATGCCCACAAGAGCCAGGGCTGGGCCTGGCTCAAGTAAAGAGCCCGGACGTCCACCCAGGTCTGCCACCTGCGTGCAGGAACACAAAGACTGGAGCCAGCACTGCTGCCTCCCACGCTGCACATTAGCAGGGCGCTGGGTGGGAAGCAGAGCCAGGACTTGAATCAAGGAGCTTTGATATGGGATGCAAGACTTTTTATGTATTTAAAATTGATTGATTGATTTAAAAGTCAGAGTTGCAGAGAGAGATGGACCGAGAGAGAGGAGGGAGAGATCTTCCATCCACTGGTTCATTTCCCAGATGGCTGAAATGGCCAGCGCTGGGCCAGATCAAAGCCAGAGAGAGCCAGGAGCTTCATCTGGGTCTCCCAGGTGGGAAGAAGGGACCGAAACACTTGGGCCACCCTCTGCTGCGTTCCCAGGCCATTAGCAGGGAGCTGGATTGAAAGTGGAGCAGCCGACATCCACACGGGATGCCAGCGTTGCAGGCGACAGCTTTACCGGCTCTGCCACAGCGCCAGCCCCAGGATGCTGACTCTTAATCACTGTCCAAATGCCCAGCCCCACTGCGAAGTTTAATCACCTCTGAGTCAACAGTTTAAACATGATTTTGTTTGGCACATTTTATGATTATGTTACTAAATCAGCCAACACACACACACACACACACACAATGTGCACGTGGACGATTTATTGGATTAAAACAAAACATGCTGAAAGTTTTCAAGACACATAAAAATAGTGACATTAGTAAACATCAGAGAGTAAATCTTTTTTACAAAATTTATTTATTTCTTCATCCAAAAGGCAGAGTAAGAGACAGAGAGTTCTTCCACCTGCTAGTTTCCTCCCCAGATAGCTGCAACGGCCATGGCTGGGCAAGGGAAGCAGGAGCCAAGAACCTCATCCAGGTCTCTCACATGATGGAGAATAAACCTTTCACCTCGACTCCCTGACTTCTTGGCTTCCACAGACAGCACAGAAAGTCAGTCAGTCCTCACACTGGGGAAGGTGCTGTGGTGAGCAGTTCGAGCCCCGCTACTCTGCTTCTACTTCTAGCATCCTGCTAATGCAACCTGGGAGGCACTGATGGCTCAAGCACTGGGCCCCTGCACCCAACCAGGAGGCCCAGGTGGAGTTCTTCAGCCTGGCCCAGCCCCTACTGCTGCAGGCTTCTAAAGAATGAACGAGCAGATGGAAGATCTTTCTTTTTCTCTTTCTGTCTCTCTTCCTCTCTCGGAGGCTTTGCCTTCGAGTACATGAAAGTAAATAAAAATAAATATTAAAAAAAAGCCCTCCAGTTTGCAGTCATTCCCTTGCAGAAATCATCATGAGGGACAAAAGACGTGTTGTTGCAGAATCTAATCTTGATGAACAGAAAAATGCCTGCAGTTTCAGAGTCGGCCGGGTGTGGGTGCAGGCTAACATGCTGGGAGAGTTCAGAACTTGGGCCTGGCTCAACAGACAGACGCCAGCGTGACCAAGCCGTGACGAGGCTCTCCACGGTGCACCTGAGGCTGCATGCTGGGCAGCTGATACCTGGTGGGCGGTTTCATTCTGTGGACACACTCTCCCGGAAGGATGCTACCAGTGGACATTACTGCTGGTCCTTAGACAGTATCCTGTGCATGCACATGTGTGTGTACCTGTCCGTGCGTGTGTGTGTCTGTGTGCGTGTGTGAAATAACTGGAGAAAGGCAAAGAGCTCTGCTTGGGGAGGCAGCTGGTCTCGTCCTTGAGGATGAACAGCTGGGTGCCTCTCTCAGAGCACGGCCAGCGGGCTGTGTCAGCTCCCTGCTGGCGGTGAGCTCCACCCAGGGTGTGCCGTGAGAGACCCAGAGCTGCTCGGGGAACACCACCATGCTCCTATGCAAAGCAAGAAGGAGAAACTTGAGACAAACGTCCCCTCATGTCACCAAGTCCCAACCCCATCAGATCAGCAAAAGACAGAAGAATTACTGTTCTAGAAACTGGCAGACCTTGCCTCTTATTGTCTATGCCTTCAGCTGTGTGAATGCAAGCTGGCTCTTGGAATCCTCGTTGCTATGAGAGGAAGCCATGTCCATGTCACGGCAGCACAGGGGAGCAGCCGGGAGCCGGTGTGACTGTGGAACCTGTCAGCCTGAGATTGTACCCCAGGCGTCTTCCAACTGCAGTAAAATGATTTAGCTTCTCGGTGCCCAGATTCTTCGTCTGTACGGGAAAGAGAATAGCTCCTGTCTCACGCGGTTGTTAGGGAAACAAGCTACATACAGTCTCTTTAGAGCAGTGTGCAACACTCAGGAAGTGCTTGTGAGTATCTGCCACAGTTTCAGGGTCCGACGCTACGCCACTGGATATTTAGAAATGATCAACAACTTGCATCCTTTTTCTTGATGTTTCTCAAGTTTAAGAGCCTTCAGGCATCAGAATTCTCATTGTAACTCCTTTCTGTCCCCATTTCTGCCCAAACAAGACCCCTGCCTCTAAGATGTCGTGTAGGCAGGGACACAAGCAGAAGAGTGTGAGGAAGAGGAGGAGGAAGAGGGACAGCCGGCCCGGAGCAGGGCTGAGTGGTTGGTGCCAGCCGGGCAGGCCTGGAATCACTCACACTGATGCATGAGCTTGCTTCCCTGAGCAACAACACTGATTGGACCGCTGGTGGCGTCACTGTCAGGCAGGTCCCGCCCTTCCCTCAGCTTCCACCTGTCTCACTCCTACCTTCTGGCTTCCCACCACTCCCCAACTCCCTGGTGTCCACGCAGGTGTCCTGCCAGCACCGCACACCACACCCACCCCTGCTCAGACTCAACTGCCAGAGCTTAACTCTGCCTCCCTTCTGTAAATGAAGTAATGTCTAAGTTGCATTCTATCAACAACTCACGCTTTAAAGCTCCTTACAAAACAACACAAACTCGGGTTTTCCTTTAAGGCACAGTCAAGTTCAACTCCATGGTTACAGACTACTTATTTAAGCTAGGGTCCTTAGTTTAGAACATGCACTTCTTAGAACCTTGAGTTTTAGGACCGAGAGGGCGCTCTGAGGCCACGGTAGCATTTCTGGGATGAGGAGGCTGAGTGGTGGTCAGCAGAGGGAGGTCTGTCCTGTCCCCGGGGCTGAGTGGTGGAGCTGGGCCACGACCAACGCTGACTGCCCTGAGATATTGTCACGACGCTGCGGAGGGGCCTCCCCCAGAGTCATCGCTGCCATTCTATTGCACAGGGTTCCAGAGCATGGCGGCAAGAAGAACAGTGGCGTCCCACGCAGACGGCAGCTGAGGCACAGACCTGCAGGGTTGGAATCCTGTCCTCCCCACAGAGGAGCCCATGAGCTTGGGTAAGCTACCCTGTCTGTGAGGTCACACTGGACTCAATGGCCAGTGTTGCAGTGAGTCCGCAGAGCATTCTGCTCTGTGCTGGGGACAGCATCCCTGATGGAGGCGTGGGTCACAAAAGGCATCTATGGAGTTGGAGGCTCACTAAGAGTTAGCTGTTTCTTCTGAAAGGTGCCACAGGCATCTACTGGAGTTCCCACTTCCAGCTTTGCTGAGTTGAGAATGTCTAGGGACAGCTACATGCTGGGTCCTTTGCTAAGGTCTTTCCCAGCCTTGGAGCAGAGAAACCAGAATTCTCTTCCTAACTTTTTTTTTTTTTTTTTTGACAGGCAGAGTGGACAGTGAGAGAGAGAGACAGAGAGAAAGGTCTTCCTTTGCCGTTGGTTCAACCTCCAATGGCCGCCGCGGCTGGCGCGCTGTAGCCGGCGCACTGCGCTGATCCGAAGGCAGGAGCCAGGTACTTCTCCTGGTCTCCCATGGGGTGCAGGGCCCAAGCACTTGGGCCATCCTCCACTGCACTCCCGGGCCACAGCAGAGAGCTGGCCTGGAAGAGGGGCAACTGGGACAGAATCTGGCGCCCCGACCGGGACTAGAACCCGGTGTGCTGGTGCCGCTAGGCGGAGGATTAGCCTAGTGAGCCACGGCACCGGCCCTCTTCCTAACTCTATCCTGCCTGCACCTGAGCCCAAGCTGGCACGACCCCACTCTGCAGCTCTGGGCACGGGTAGGGACCTGGGCAGAGCTGGTTCTCGGCAACCTCAGTGTTCGGAATGCTTGTGAAAGACGAATGCAGCCGCATCTCTACAATTTTGATATACAGAAGTGGCTTAAAGGCTTCATCCAGTTGTGACCGCATTTGCTGTGAAATGACGGTGATAAAGGGGTGTGTTAATGTCCCCCCAAGCCAGCCTCTGACATCACCATGAATGACATGGCAAATGAGTGGGGTGGCAGAGCCAGGGGTCTGACCCAGTGGGCACCACCACTGGAATCCAGTCTTAGCAGCTGGGGGAGGGTGGCGTCCATGCTCAGCATGGAACTCGGGTGGGCGTTCGGCCTAATGGCTAAGACACTGCTTACGCACCCTGCATCTCACATCAGAGTACCTGGGTTTCACACCTCCTTCTGGCTCCTGACTCCAGCTTCCTGCTAACGCAGACCGGGGGAAGCAGCAACCATCTTGGTCCCTGCCACCCAGGAGGGAGATCTGGATGGAGTTCCTGGATCCTGGCTCCGGCCTGGCCCAGCCCTGCCTGCTGCAGGCATTTGGGAGCTCTCTTTCAATGGGCTTAGTCCCGTGTACACGAGTGTGACTGTGTCATTTTTACTTGAGACACCCTGGGCTGGAGCCGTCTGCACTGTAATGATTACACAAGAGATGACTTCAGAGCTCTTGAAGGCAGACACCCTGAACTTGACCTTTGACCTACAGCCCAGCTTAGAAAGCAGTGCTCTAGGGGCTGGCACTGTGGCGTACCAGGTTAGGCCTCCGCCCATGGTGCCAGCATCCCAGATGGTCGCTGGTTCATGCGCTGGCTGCTACACTTCTGATCCAGCACTGTGCTAACCTGACGGAAAGCAGCAGACGATGGCCCAAGTGCTTGGGCCTCTGCACCCACGTGGGAGACCTGGAGGAAGCTCCTGGCTCCTGACTTGAGATCTGCCCCGTTCTGGCCCTTTTGGCCATTTAAGGGAATGAACCAGCAGATAGAAGCTCTCCCCCCGTCTCTCCCTAACTCTGCCTTTCAAACAAATAAAAACAACACAAAAACAACAAAGCAACGCTCTAGAGCATGGACACTCCTGAGGAAGCTTTCATCACTCAATCACAATCCGCCCAGACGGAGCCTCAGCCTCCATTCAACGTGGTGGGATCGCTGCTCGGCCTTTTGGCTAAGATCAAGTCTAACTCAGTGTGGTGGTTAGCTCAGCAGTCCTGGACTTGGGAGTGCTGGTGTTAAGGTCTTGTTTTGCCACCTGTTCTTCAGAGTGGCACAGATTAATGAGATAATGTCTCTGAATCATTCTACATCCTGATACGGAAGCTCTCATGTGTGAGTTACCGTTGTTGTGCTGCTAATCTCGAATGATCTGAGGCAGGCGTTCACGTAGGTACCCAAGTAAGAATGGAGAGTCCGTGCAGCTTCTCAAGACGTCCATGGATCCGCTGAGTCTCTAACTGGACCTTGAGCTTTTCACTCCACAGGCGCCGCCTTCCGTTTCTGGTCAGGCTCTGCCTTCTCCACGTCTCGTCACCTATCTCTACTTTTTTCTCTTTATGTCCCCCTGGAGACTTGTCTGACTGGTCTTTGGTTCTTGCCTGATGACTGCAGAATGACAACCAAGTCTGCGGCAAATTCCTGGCACACAGTTCCGGAGACACAGCAGTACGCACGGGTCGTTAGTGTGGACTTTGCTGTTCAAAAGCCCTTCACAGTTAGGAAAACGGAAGGCGACTCTGTCCTTCCTTGCCAGGGTCCTGGCTTGCCTTCTTGGCTCTCGGCGGCTGGACTTCCTTTACAAGCCTGAAATAACCTTCCCCTGACACGGAGGTCGCTCCTGGAGCCGAAGCGCGGCCTGATGTATTTCTGTTTGTTGTTTCCAAGTCTGTTTGACCAACACAGTCCGTGTTATCCAAACTGTTCCTGGGCCTCAGCGCTGGCTTCTGGCACGGGGGCTGTGGAGCAGGCAGAGAGCGCTCGCTCTGAGCCAGCGCCCTGCGTTCCTGCCCACGTCTGTTTACAAGCACATCCGCCTGCGATGGCTCAGGATTAATCACGGCTTGTGATTGTCTGGAGACAATTGCGCCGTCTCCTCCCTGAGCCTTTTCAAAGAACCGCGACTGACACACGCACCCGAGGTACCACGCGCTGACATAAACCCCCTTGGCCAAGAACACGAAGTCCCTTCACCCACGCTTAGTATTTTACTGACCAACCCCCACTGAAAAGCCTCGGGTTCTTAATAAAAATGTCAGCGATGCTGTATGTTTTTTCCCAGTCTCTTCCCCTTTCTTTGTAATCCCACGCTTAACCCCTTCTGACCCAGTGGGATTTCCCAGTCCCCAGTGGTCTCTCGTGCTGGGGTCCTGGCTGACCTCCAGGACCTGCTGATGACACGCGGTGGAAGGACAGCGTGGGGCTGGGGGCGGCGGTCTTGGCCAGAAGCCGGCCCGCGCTGCCGGAGAAGCACCAATCGCTCACAAAGGCTCCTCGGTTACTTCCGCTCCGGCCCCATCCTGCCACCCTCCACTTAGTCCTTGTTCCCGTCCCCACCACACTGGCTTCCTTGTCTTTGCTAGGATGCTCTGCTCCACCAGCCGCACTCTGGCTTCTAAAGAGAACCCCGGAGGCTGGCGCTGTGGCGTAGTGGGTAAAGCCACCGCCTGCAACACCGGCACCCCATATGGACCCCACTGCCCCACTTCCCATCCAGCTTCCTGCTGATGTACCTGGGGAAGCAGCGGAGGAGGGCCCAAGTGCTCGGTCCCCCGCACCCCACGTGGGAGACTTGGAAGAAGCTCCTGGCTTCCGACAGGCCAGCCCTGGCTGTTACAGCCATTTGGGGAAGGAATCAGCAGATGGAAGATCTCTCTCTCTCTGTAACTCAGTATTTCACATGAATAAAAGAAATATTTTTAAAAAATTAGAAAAAAAGAAAAAGAAAACTCGGAGATTCAGTAAGCAAGACAAAAACCCCAGTCAGGGCTCTGAGGGAGGGGACAGAGGAGAGAGAGGCTGAGCAGGTTGCTGGTGGGTGGCACAGGGTGGGGGGGCTGCCCTCAGCCCTCCTGAGCTCCTCTTCCTCCCTTAGCCAGCCCCAGGCCAGGGCTTGGCCAAGGCAGGACTCAGAAGGCCGTGGGAGGCCAGTGTGGGTCTGCCTGGGTGGTTTCTGGCTGGGCACCCTGCACGTCTGAGCACTTTGCCTGGTGGAGATGGAACAGGTTGGCTTCTCCTCTTCCCTCTAGCACACTCAGTGTGAGGCCAGAGACTGAGAAAGCTGCAGGTGCACATGGCTCCTTCCACAAGGGAGCACCTTTGCAACTCTCAGGTGGGTGTGCACCCACTGAACGGCCCTGCTGCCCACTCTCGCCAGGCTCCATGCGCCGTGGATGGCAGAGAGCCCGTGACACCCAGCCTTGGAGAGCTGGAAGGTTCTGTCATTTTATAAGTAGACACTCTAAGATAAGCATTTTATAAATCTTGTTTTTTAACTGCTAAAGCAACAGATCAGCAGTAAAGGCCTGGTTGAGTCATTCGTGCACGTGTGAGATGTTGAGAAGCCCAGGCGTTCTCCACTCCACCTGTCCTCCGCGATTAGCCTACTGCCTCCCGGGCCCTGCATCTGGTCCCCAGCGGCGGGACTCCAACACCTGTTTTTAATATGCCCCTCAGATTCTCTGAGAAGCTCTGGTAGAGGTAATTTACTCCTTCACCAGTCCCCTTAGGAAGACATCCTTCATGGTCACGTCTCCCTCTGAGCCCCAGAAGCAGTCCCTGGGCCTAACCCTGGCAGTCTTCACTCACCCCAAACACTCGAACCTCAGCCACACGCACACACGCGTGCCTGCAGCCCCAACACTGTGGTGTGGTGCTTGCATGTTCTCAGAACCACACATGCGGGAGTTACTGTGCATGTATCGTTCTGAAACGCGTCTCCTGCTCCAGATTTGCTTGCTGGTACACGCAGCCTTAGCTCCTTTTCACTACTAGATGGTATTTATCACAGAAGCATTAAAACACTTTTGAGCGAGCCCGTGCTGGTGCTGTTTCAATAAAGCTGCCCAATTATGGAATGCTCAAGCTGCTCAGAAGTTTTCTTTTCAACTTTTATTTACTGGAAAAGCAGAGTGAGAGAGAGAGAGAAAGAGGGAGAGACACAGAGCTCTTCCATTTGTGGTTCACTCTCCAAATGTCCGCAACAGCTGGGGTTGGGTCAGGCCAACTTCAGGAGACTAGAATTCCAGCCAGGTCTTCCACATGGGTGGCAGGGACCCAATTACTTGGTAAACACCTCCTGCATCAGCAGGAAGCTGGATTGGAAGCGAAGCTGGGACTCGCTCTCAGGCACTGATAGGGGATGCAGGCGTCCTGAGGGGTAACTTAACCCACTGCACCCCAGCGCTTGTTCCGCTGCAATATGTTAATGTGTCTAACGTTATCCTCTATTGATTTACTAGAAAGGCAGAGAGAGAGAGAGAGAGAGAGAAAGGGAGAGAGAGAGGCACCTTCGATCTGCTGGTTCACTCCCCAAATGGCTACAGCCAGGGCTTGGTCAGGCCGAAGCCAGGAGCTTCTTCTGGGCCTCCCACGTGGGTGCAGGGGTCCAAGCACTTGCGCCATCTTCTACTGTTTTCCCAGGCACTTTATCAGCGAGCTGGATCGAAAGTGGAACAACTGGGACTCGAACCAGCACCCATAAGGGATGCTGGCATTTCAGGCGCCGACCTCTACGTTTATCCTTTAACAAAGCATACATGTCTGACTAGTGATAACCCCACTATACCTCAATCTAGATGTCTTTTTTAGCATGATGGACTTCTTTCTATGCTTCTATACACCAAAGTGAGTATTCTACATAATTTTCCTTCATGTTTGTTTATCGTAACTTACCTAGATCTACCTCTAGTATTTACACTTAATATTCTGGGGGGCACTAGATAAGGAGGACGTGGAAGTGTGCTCTCTTCCTAGGATAAGTGTGCAGGAGCACAATGATTGAATCTAAGGCTGGGAACAGTTGTGTGGTCTCAGTACCTTTTGTCATACTGTTGTCCAGACTCCCATTTCCATCTCGAGGTGGGGACAATGAAACAGCAGTCCTGCTTCTGGAGGAGTCATGACCTTGTTTCCAAACTCTGGGCAAATCCAGTACTGAAACAGGTTCCTATAATCAAATCTGTGGAAATACAGACAAATGTGCAAAGGTGGGTGAGATAGCAGATAGACAAGGGATAGCAAATGCCTTTGCTAATCAATTGATTACAGATTTAATAACTTAAAAAAATCCCCATTATGTTGCTTGATCATGTCACTAACCTCAGTCTTCTCAGCTGTGAAATGGGAGCATAAGAGGAAGAATAACAGGGAGTCACACAGCAGGGTGTGTCATCCCTTCCCTGGGCAAGGCTTTGTTTGAGACACTCTACAGATACTGGCGTTTAATCTTCAGACCTGCAGGACAGACACCATATGGATGATCAGCCCTCTGACATGCAGCCGAGGCACTGACACACAGAGGGGTTGCTCGACTTGTCCAGGGTCACAGCCGGCAAATGGTAGGGTGAGCCACAGCTCAGACAGTCTGGCTCCAGAGTTTATGCCCATAATCATTATACAAACAGGACAGTTCCTATATAAAACTATGTGTACACATAGAGAACACCCAGTGAATGCTGTTATTACTGTGATGCATTTTTAAAAATATTTATTTATTTGAAAGGCAGAGTTACAGAGGGAGAGGGAGAGACACAGAGTTCTTCCATCCATGGGTTCTCTCCCCAGATGGCTGCAATGGGTAGGGCTGGACCAGGCCGAAGTCAGGAGCTTCATTTGGGTCTCACACATGGGTGCCAGGGACCCAAGCACTTGGTCCGTCTCCTGCTGCCTTCATAGGCACATTAGCAGGGGGCTGGATGGGAAGTGGAGCAGTCGAGACTTGAATCTGTGCTCACATGGGATGCTGGCGTCACAGGCAGTGGCTTAACCCACCATATCACAACACCAGGCTCTATTAAAATGTATTTTAAAAAGCTGCCTGAACTAGGATAGGGCTGCTGGCAGAATGGATTTAGAAGCTATCAAAGACAAACAAGAGTCAAGCCGTGGAAGTTCCCGCCTAATTCTGGCTCAGTTGCAGGGGGGTGCAGGAACAGGGAGCGGCAGCAGGACTCCTGTCAAGAATGGTGCAGAGCCTTCTCACAGGTTGAGTGGAACAACCTCAAGTCTCCTTCCAGCTGTGAGGCTCTGTGGTTCTGGGCCAGTCTTGTTCTTTTTCCACATGGGAAAGCCTTGTTTGTTTTCTTAACATCAGGTCCAGTTTATGGACTTGGTTACTGCTGTTTGCGTTTCAACTGTCCGCATCACCGGCTGATGAGAACGTGACCGCGTGGTTTGTGCAAGCCGGCGGAAGTCTCTTGTGCTGTAATGGCTGGGCTGTTACCACACCTGGCATCGCGATGGCGGGAGCTGGGGAAATGGCCCACCTGCTCAGCCCGCCAGCCAGGACTCCAGGCTGTCACCTTTGTCCGGAGAAGGTGCAGGCCTGCGAGGTCATCACACGGGGATCAAAGTTCACACCGCCAGGATGTGACTGCCGGTGGGAGCAGAGGCGGTCGGCAGGGGCGTGCTGAGCATTGGGGAAGCCCGGGCTGATCCAGGATTTTGCCTCCCTCTGCAGTTCTCTCTGGCAATCGCTGTCTTTACCTTCATGTTCCAAGCAAGCCCTGGAGACGATGCATAGTTTTTGGTCACCCTTGGGTCGATGCCGTAGAAGGGGAGGCTTGAAGGGTGTAGTGAGCTCCAGTACAGAGATGCTGGTGACGGGACTTGTATGGAGCCCACCAGACTGGCTCAGAGAGCATGTTCGTCTCAGCCGTGTCTTATGTTTTTGTCTTGGGTGCAATGTTTTAGTTTTCTGGATGTGTAGTTACTATGGAGATGGATGAAAATAGGAGTTTTGGGGGTCAAATTGTCAACAAATTTAGCCTACAGAAATAGGAGGCAGAGTCAGAGGGAAGGCCAGACAATGGCTTTTGAGAGAGTATTAGGAGATTTCACCCATAATGTGGTAGGGACGGAGGGGACCACGAAGGCCAAGCGCACCAGACATCAGATTCCCCTGGGTCTAAAGACAAGTGATTTATGGGGCTGGCGTTGTGGGGCAGCAGGTTAAGCTGCCGCCTGCAATGCCAGCGTCCTATTAGGAGTACTGGCTTGAATCCCTGCTGCTCCACTTCCAATCCAGCTCCCTGCTAATGCGCCTGGGAAGGCAGCAGAAGATGGCCCAAGTGTTGGGCTCCTGTCACCCATGTGGGAGACCTGGGTGGCGTTCCTGGCTCCTGGCTTCAGCCTGGCTCTGCCCTGACCATTGTGGCCATTTTGGGAGTGAACCAAATGCATGGAACACCTCTTTCTCTCTCATCTCTCTCACTTTCTCTTTCAAATAAATAAATCTTTAAAAGAGAAAAAAAAATAAAGATCAGTAACTTGAAATGACCGGTGTGCATCACCATCGCTGGAACGCTGTCTTGATTCCTAAGGAGAACAGTCTTTGTTTCGGTGGGACCGGTCTCCGACATGTTAGTAGCAACTCTCCTCAAACAGTGATTTCACCCTGCAGGTCACATATTTGTGTATTCTGTGTTTAACTTAGACACCTTGTAATGCAAATTTAAATAATGACAAATTTGCTTTGCAACCTGACCAGCTCATCAACGATGATGAGCGTGCATTTGGAACATGTTGTTTTGGAACTTCAAAGCAAGAGACAAACTGTCAATCATGACAGCATCAATTTCCCTGTGTTACTCATCAGGAACACAGCAGGATGGGCCAGGTCTCTGGTCACTTGGGACACTTGCATTAGAGGCCCCAGGACGCCAAGGACATCAGTGGGCGGTCAGAGTCACTGATTTTCATAATGGAAGCCGCGTAACCAATGTATGTGTATGTGTTTTCATACATAAAATAAATATGGAAAGATTGGCTTGGACTCAAAATAGTCCAGGTAAGCTTGTAGGACCAGATACCAAAAGAATGAGCTCATATTGTGGATTTTCAAAACAGAGAGATTCTTTTTCATTATGTCTATGTAAGAGTAAAGTCAACCTTTGGTTCAGATAATGCAAGCAGACTTAACTCTGAAGGGAGTTGAAAAAGCTGGTCGAGAAATAAACACTGTGTGTTATAGCCAAGTACAAATGTCAGTTTAGGATTTCATTTTTTGAAAAGATTTATTTGAAAGGCAGAAACACATAAACACACACACACACACAGAGAGAGAGAGAGAGAGAGAGAGAGAGAGAGAGAGAGAGAGATCTATCATTTGCTGGTTCACTCCCCAAATGGTCACAACAGCCGGGGCTGGGCCAGGCTGAAGCCAGGGGCCCATATGGGATGCTGGTGCTACAGGAAGGGTCTTAACCTGCTGCACCACAGTGCTGAGCCCTGTGATTTTATTCTTTTTATTTTATTTTATTTTATTTATTTTTTTATTTTTTGACAGGCAGAGTGGACAGTGAGAGAGAGAGACAGAGAGAAAGGTCTTCCTTTGCTGTTGGTTCACCCTCCAATGGCTGCCGTGGCCGGCGCGCTGCGGCAGGCACACCGTGCTGATCCGATGGCAGGAGCCAGGAGCCAGGTGCTTCTCCTGGTCTCCCATGGGGTGCAGGGCCCAAGCACCTGGGCCATCCTCCACTGCACTCCCTGGCCACAGCAGAGAGCTGGCCTGGAAGAGGGGCAACCGGGACAGAATCCGGCGCTCCGACCGGGACTAGAACCCGGTGTGCCGGCGCCGCAAGGCGGAGGATTAGCCTAGTGAGCCGCGGCGCCAGCCTGTGATTTTATTCTTAAAATATACTTTGCTATAGAGATGGCATAGTTATAGGCATTGGATGTGAAAATTATTTGACAGATCCTATTTTGTGCAACATCAAAAAAAATATATCCTGGGCAAGCCAGCATATTTATCATTTGTAAAGAAATTGAATGTGGATGGGGCTGGCGCTGCGGTGCAGTGGGTACAGCTGCCGCCTGCAGCGTTGGCATCCCATATGGATGCTGTTTCGAGACCCGGCTGCTCCACTTCTGATCCAGCTCTCTGTGATGGCCTGGGAAAGCAGTAGAGGATGGCCCAAACCCTTGGGCCCCTGCACCCACATGGGAGACATGGAGGAGGCTCCTGGCTCCTGGCTTCAGATTGGCACAGCTGCTGCAGCCATCTGGGGAGTGGGCCACCCAATAGAAGACCTCTCTCTCTGTCTCTGCCTCTCTGTAACTGCCTTTCAAATAAACAAACGAAAAAGATTGTATGTGGAATATCTTTCTGGCAGATGACAAACTAATGACTTTTCTATAGACCAAGAGGCTGACCTTGGGATCTTCCTGCTCATGGCAGAGCCTGGGAGCAGGGACCAGGTGCTTCATCCACAAGGAGAGAAGCCGTCCCTCCCATGTGCTGGGGAAGGAAGTGCCGGGAGCAGCTTCATGTAAGTCTCCTGCTGTTCCGAGTCCTTGTAGACATCTTTTCCTTGCCTCTGATACCTTCTGTCACGGGAAGCCCTGCCAAGGCCTTACTTGAGAGAATTTTTTTTTTTTTTTTTAATGCAGAAAGAGCTGCCTACAGCTGTGATGAGTGTGGAAGTCCTGCTGTTCTCCAGTGGAGCCCTGTGGGTCAAGGCCAGCAGAGGTGACTCCTGTGAGGTAGCACCTGCGTGCTGAGGACAGAGCTGTGGTGAAGGGGAATCCAGCTGATGCCTTCTGGGGCCAACACTGCCTCATCGCTCCCCCGTGGCCTTGCCCACAGTCAGTGCCCAATGGGAGCCCTGTGCTACCCAATGCGGAGGGGTATCTCTCACCCTGCTTCCTGAAATAGGAGGCACAAATTCCTCTGCGAATGGACCTTCTAAGGTGGGGGCAGGGTGGGGTGGAGTCTGCCTGCGCACACACTCAGATTACTCCAGTGAATGCGCCGACTGTACCCCACTGGCAGGACCGCAGGCCTGAGACGGATGTCAAGGACTTCAGACACCCACCCTTCTGCCTTTGCACAAGGAGCAGCCAGTGATCAGGGGAGCGGGGCCGCCTGACTCGGCGGGCACTGAGCAGCCCCGGTGAGCAAGCCTGTAGCCAGGGAGATCTGCGCTGCTGTGAGGCTGTCTCCAGCAAACAGTGCCCAGCCTTCATACTGTCCCACAAAGCAATGGGGCACCTCGCAGCTTGTCCTTATTGGGATGCATCCTTGGGCGAACTCCCAGACTTAACCCTGCACCTTCCACCGTTGGCAGACCTCACACTTTGAGGAAGCGAGGCGTGAAGCCCCGTGTTCTCAGGCCCACGTTGAGAGGTAACCCCCTTCCTAGAGTGGTCGTTACCCAGCCTGACGACTGGACAGCCGGGAGTCTGTTTCATGGAAGACCTGCACTGTGTCCTCCAAAGGCGGCTGCTCATAGAAAGGAAACCCTCACGACTCTTTCTTTCATTTGCCCTGCTATGTCTTGTGTGGTTACAGTCGATTCACACCAAGCCAGGAATGTTCTGGAGGCAGGGACAGACAAAAAGAAACACTTCATTATTCGCAGCCTGCAAGAAGAACATGGCATGCTGGCCCTGCTCGCCTTAAATACACGGAGGTTAAGAATGCAGAATGGCTCCGGGAGAGCTGTAAGGCAGTCAGTGTCTTAGGAAACTCATCTCCACTCTGCCTTCCAGGCATTTTTCATAGTTCTTCCATTCGAGAAAATGCTTTGTTTTCCTTCTGGTCGGTATCTGTTGTAAAACATGCTCTTGGAAGAGTGTGATGTTGGTTATTTCCAGTTTAACTTACGCATTTAGTTACTCAGTAAATATTTCTTGAGCAACTAGTATGCATCAGTCACTAGGCCAGAAGTTTCCATGCAGCAGGGAGAAAAAAACAAGCAGGCATGGCTGATGTGTTCTTTAAGCTTAGACTACTGAGAGACAATATAACAGTATGGTTGTACAGCAGGTCATGACCTGCCAGGGAGGGGATACGCCAAGTGCTGGAAGAGGAGGGAGTGGACCTCTTTTCTGTCTACAAAAATCCAGAAGGCCTCCCTGGGAAACAAAGGCTGGAGTTGAAGGAGGTGGGGTTGTTAGGAAGAGAAAGAAGGGCATCAGAACGGCCTGTGGTGTGCAGGGGCAGCTGTGATATGCACAGACATCTGCTATGATCTGGCACACAGGTTTGGCTGCGCTTAGAAGGGATTAGGTAGACTGACTGGAGAGTTGCTTCGAAACAAAGCTGCACTGAGGAGGTGGAGGCCGGGAGTTCTGACCCATGGAGGTGAGGACAGAGAGCTGTCAGGTCAGCTCTGAGTTACTGTAGCAAAACAGCCGGGGCAGAGAGCTCTAAGTAGCGCAGTTTGGAGGTGCCAGGGCTTAGTGCTGCACTGGCTGTGTTACACTGCGGCAGGCAGTGACGCTGGGAGCCCGTGTCAGAGGGAGCGGCACGAGGCTGAGCTGGGGCAGAGACAGAACCACCAGGGGGTGCAGGAGAACCACCTGTACACCCACTGATGTGAGGGCCTCCCAGCAGTCTCCACCTCCCCAAGGCCCCAGCATCCCCCAGCAGTGCCACCTGTGGCCCAAGCCTTGGGTCACAGGGGACCTCAACGGTGGGCGTGATCCAGTCATTTCCCAACTACAGGGAGGCATCTGGGTCCCGGACTTGCTCAGCAGGAGGGCTAGATCACTGAGACTGGGCCACAGAAAGACGCAAGGTGTGGCGTTCTGATGGATGCCGGGGATGGGGAGAACATGAATTTTTGTTAAGCTTGGGTACCTCTGAGGGTCCCAGGAGGACCAGGCGCTTTGACAGTTGTCCAACCAAGCTTGGAACCTGGGGAGGCAGATGCTTGGGTGTGGACATGAACATCCGTCATAGTACATGAATGGCCAGGCAGAAACTGAACCAAGGAGCGGGCACCTGGGAAGGGATGAGCCTTTTACTCCTCGTCCCTGAGCATGCAGCGGATCACTCGGATTCTTGGTCAGAATCTTGGAGACTGCAGAGCAGGTAGACAGACTTAGGAATATGGGCAGAGACACATGATACCACAAAGGACTGATGAAAAGTTAACCCAAAAGACACGACACCTATTATAAAAATCCTTAAGAAAACTCACCTTTCAACAGTGTGTGTGGGAGGCAGAGTGCACGTGGGGACCAAGTGGCCAAGTAGATCATCAGGTTGGCTTCCTGTTGCTGGGGATAAGTTAGTCCCCTGGAAAGCTGTGCCTCATTTCAGGGGTGTCTCCCTCCAGGGTAGACAATCAAGTCTCTAAGAGGCCTTTCTACATAAACAGGAGGAAAACAAGTTAATGGTTGGTGGTGGGTATTGGGTGATGTCTGCATCCCATATCACAGTGCTTGGTTCAAGTCCCAGATCCTCCACTTCTGACCCAGCTCCCTGCTGCCCTGGGAGGCAGCAGACAATAGCTCAAGTACTTATGTCTCTGCCATCCCTGTGGAAGACCTGGATGGAGTTCCAGACTCCTGGCTTCAGCCTGGATTACTCTCAGCTGTTGCAGGCATTGGGGGGGAGGGGGTGTTGAACCAGTAGAAGGAAGCTCTGTCTCTATCCTTGTCTCTGCCTTTTAAATAAGATGAAAAAAAAAATTCAATAGCTGGAGCAGTTTATGAGCCGGCCGGAGCCTGCAGAGCCGTCTGCAGACTTCTCCAGGTGACTTGGAGAACCTCGCGCTGGGCTGGGGGCGGCGGCCTGCCGGGCTTCCCTGGAGCACAGCTCATGGTGAGTTCCTCACATCAGCATGTTCACCAGTCCCAGCTTGCAGGGCTTCAGGAAAAAAGCAATTTTCATTTTAGTGAGTCCAAGTCAGAAAAATTAGGAGGACAGTTGGAAATATTAGACTTGCAGCCAGGGAAGATTTTAAGATACAGATCAAATTGCTGATAAACGATAGAAGATAAAAAAAAATGAGCAGGGCTAGAACCTACCAAGAAGTGTGTTGTGAGTTTCTTCTTAAACATAGCTCTTCTCTCCAGCTCCCATTCCTACCAAACATAATCATGGCAAGCCCGATTTGCTTGTAAAAGGAGTTTTAGTTTCATTAAACTTGGCCTGATCATTTGCATAAAGCGTGATAAGACAGCTCTTTTTAAGTTTGCTTGATGGAACTTTTTTTTTTTAAGATTATTATTTGAAAAGCAGAGAGAGAGAAAGAGACACACACACACAGAGAGAGAGAGAGAGAGAGAATTAACTACCCAACTGGCTACAACAGCCAGGACTGGGCCAGGCTGAAGCCAGGAGCCTAGAACGCCATCCAGTCTCCCATGTCAGCACAGGGGCCCAAGGACTTGGGCCATCCTCCACTGCTTTCCCAGGCACATTAGCAAGGGGCTGGATCAGAAGTGGAGCAGTTGGGACTTGAACAGGCAGGTGCCTATGTGGGATGCCGGCACTGAAGGTGGCAGCTTTACCCACTATGCACCACGCCAGCCCCTGCTGGTACTGTTAATGAGGAATCTCAGCTTAGACATCTTTGCAGAGCCTCTCTAGGCTGGACAGCCAAGCCAGGAGTTGCTGTCAGGTTTCACTTGCAGCTCTTGGGTGTACTCCTATGTTCCCAAAGGTTCCCAAAATATATTGAGGTCCCCAGGCTCGTGGGGAAGTGGCTGGCTCCAGCTGCATGGAAGAGTCCATGAGGGACCAGGCACCAGGTCTGTTTTCCATGGGGCTCTCCTCTCGGCTTCACAAACTCAGTTCTCAGCCCGTCAAGGACCCTGGTGACATGTGAAGGCACAGAACCCACACTCATGCTCCTGGGCAAAGGGAGTCATGTGCAGATAACTTATGACATCTCATGCAACAAACACATTATGTCAAACTGCACTGTTTAGGGAATGATGACAACAAACAAAAAATCTTGGGGCCAGCGTTGTGATACAGCAGGTTAAGCCACGGCCTGAGACACTGACATCCCACGTGAGTAGTGGTTTGAGTCCTGGATACTCTGTTTCTGATCCAGCTCCCTGCTAATGTGCCTGGGAAGGCAGCCAAAAGGCAGCAATGGCTGGGGCTGGGCCAGACTGAAGCCAGGAAACAACTCCATCTGGGTTGCCCACATGAGTACTGGGTACCAAGTACCTGAGCCATCTTCTGCTGCTTCCCAGGTACTTTAGCAGGTAACTGGACAGGAAGTGGAGCAGCCAGGACTTGACCCAGTGCTCATATGGGCTGCTGGTGTGCCACAGAGCGGGCCCCATCCTCCAGAACTCTGTTGTTGATGCTGGATGTCGTAAGCTGACTACTGTAACGTAACTGGAGGTTTAAGTGTCGGTAAAGTCACACGCTGCTGTCACCAGCACCATCCAGAGCACACCCCCCATTGTGCTGTACTTGCTACATGGAGTAGAATCTCCTGCCAGTGAGTCTCCCACATGGACACAATCCACTCTAGCATGTGGCGTGACCACAGCACTTTGAGTTTTTCAGCTGAGTTGGTTGTAGGCTCATGCACCATGTTCTGTGGCCACGAGCTTTGGGTGACTCATCTGCTGCACATTCCCAAGCCAGACAAGGAGACCTTGACCTTTATCAGCACAGGGCTCACCTGCCCCCTCCCTGCACCTGTGCCCAGGGACGCCCACACTGGCATGCAGAAGTGATTAATTTCCGTACAGACGCTTAGCTAGACACCCTCCAGGTGCTCAGTTCACACCAAGCCCTGGATGCTTGCCTTCATCTTCCAGAACTCCTGACACCCTGAGCTCACAGAGGCAGCACAGCCCCTGCTTTCTCCTTTTTGAGCGCCTTCTTCCTTAGGCCTAAGCAAACATCTTCATGCAGAGTTTGAAAGCCATTTCTTTGTGTTTCTTTGTCTTGAAAACACACATGAGTCTAACGTTTTAAGCCTGGGAAGACAGCTTTCCTTTCCCCTCTGCATGCGTCACTCTTGTGTTTCTGGCTTTTCCTCTTACTCTTGGACCGACATAGCTGGGTTCTTTCCAGAAAACACAGGACACCTACGACGTGCCCAGCATCAGCTGAGAGCTGGCAATCCAGTATGGGGCCATCACAGTCAGCAGCGGCTCATCTCTGCGCCTGTAGTGGGAGCGTGGCACGGACACCAGGGAGACCCTGGGGGCTGTGTTCCGGCTGAGCAGCTGGTAGCACCCTCACTGCACGGAGCACGCTCCGTCGCAGCCTCAGTGCAGTCAGCAGCTGTGCCAGCCGCAGGCGCCGAGCGCAGCATCTGGGAGAGCTTGTTGTGCCTGTGGGAGCTGGGCACTGGCAGGTGCCTGGCAGGATGGAGTGAGGATTTCGAAAGGAGAATTCCAGGGGGTGTGGGCACAGGGTGTAGACGTGACAGAACCTGCCATGCTTGCGGGCAAGTTCTTCTTTTGTGGCCAAGCATGGTGCGTGTGCAGGAAGCTAAGAGGGAATGCTCGGCTGGAGCCAGACCGCCAGGGGCCCTGAGGAAGTGGCTTTCAGCTGTGGGCAGAGGTCGGGACACAGTCGGCTCTGTTTAAAAATTAATTCTGGAGGGGGTTTTGGAGTGGGGTGAGGGGAGGCAGGGAAGCAGGGCAGAAAGCCTTCCATTGTCCAGGAGAGAGAAGGCCTGGAAGGGAGGTGGTAGCTGTGGGGTGGAGCAGAGACGCCGGCTGTGTGAATCACAGCTCAGACAGACGGCCCGGTTGTTTCCAAGTTCAGGGATGGTCACCTGGGTGGCGGGGTGCAGCTGCTCAGCTCCGATTTGCTCTGAGTCAGAACCATGCCCTGTTCTGCCTGGTGGGGAGCGGAGCTCTGGCAGTTACCCTGTCCAGCTGCCCGGCCTCCCGGCTTCTGGACGGGCACAGCCACAGGGGAGGTGTGAGGGGCGAGGCTAAGGTAACTCGCTACCCCTGGGGTTTCACCTGCAGTGCCTGTCTCCTTTGCTATCAGCTCCTGCTGTTGTGTGAGATTCCAGCTCCCCCTGGGTGACCTTGCCTGTGGGGCACCATGACACCGTGACGCTACCCCTCTGTGTCACTGCTGCCGTCAAGGTGACCATGGCCTCCTGCCTTGCTCACACTGCCCGCCTTCCTCTGTTTTTCCTACATCTTTGTAACCATGTCCCCATATCAAATTCCCGCCATTGAAGTACTCAGGGTGGGTGCTGTTTTCCCAGTCAGAGCCTGGGGGTGGAGATGAAATGACCTCAGGAGGTGGGTGGTGCAGCAGACAAGGAGAGGAGAGGAACACAGTTCAGTTTCGGATATGTCTCATGTTTCAGACGAGATGCCGACTACGCACGTAGTGGCCTCCATGCCAATTGTTCACAAAGCTAGTGGAGGTAATTCTTTAAAGCCAGAGCAGAAGACCAGATCCTTTCCTGCTTAGCATATTCCGGTGCTTTCCACTGCACCTAGAATAAAAGAGAAGCCCCTCATCTGCGTACATGAGCCCCAACCTGCACCTGTAACTTTCTTTTTGACAGGCAGAGTTAGACAGTGAGAGAGAGAGAAAGATCTTCCTTCCGTTGGTTCACTCCCCAAACAGCTGCCACGGCTGGCGTGCTGCGCCGATCTGAAGCCAGGAGCCACGTGCTTCCTCCTGGTCTCCCATGCGGGTGCAGGGCCCAAGCACTTGGGCCATCCCCCACTGCCCTCCCGGGCCACAGCAGAGAGCTGGACTGGAAGAGGAGCAACCGGGACTAGAACGCGGCGCCCATATGGGATGCCGGCGCTGCAGGCGCAGGATTAACCAAGTGAGCCATGGCGCCAGGCCCCTGCACCTGTAACTCTTGTCCCCTCACTCACACTGTCCAGGCACAGGGACCCTTGCTAACGTCCCAGGGCCCTTGCATGGCTCTTCCTTCTGCTGGGAGGCTGTCTGCTCAGCTTCCCACGTGCTGTCTTACGTGGGTCCCTGCTTCTGTGCCACCTCTGCAGACTCCTGTCCCGCGTCTCCCTGCTCTGAGCTGTGCTCTTGCTTGGGGTCCTGGCTTTCTGAGGTTACAGCCTCTGCTTCTTCCTACTTGGAGTCCTTTGCCTTGTTGCCTTTCTGGGCTTCCCTGTACCTTGTTTCAAGTCCAGCACCTGTGAAGGACGGAGTAACTCTCCGCTGAACACATGAGTAATTATGTCACCTTGACAAAGTGCCACACAGCAAGGTGCTTTGTGTTTTTCATATTTTATCGCTTACCTTTTTATTTTTTGTAATTTAACTTCAATGATTTCTCTGCTACACTACTCATCTTTCCCAACAGGTGGCGCCCCTCCTCCAGGGAACATCGCTCTCCGTTCTGCCCAGGGAATCTAGCTGCTGGACTTGACCAGGATGAGCCCTTCCCTGGATGTGTTTAATACTTGTCGCCTCTCTCCAGAGAGGTGAGCTTGGCACCTCTAGAGCTGCAGTTTCTGGAGAGGTGCGTTTGGTCGTTATTTGCTGGATGAACGAGAGGGCAGTGGGGCCCACAGGAAGCCTTGCGGCTCCTCGTCTCTGTCTGTTCTGCAGACTGCGGGTCACTGGACAAGGGTGTCCGGGGGGTGTGATGGCTGTGCCAGTTTTGTGGCGCTGCTCATGGGAGGGCGCCTCCTGCCTGCATGGGAGGAACAGGCCTCACCACGGACACAGGCCCCTGACGCCCAGGGCAGCTAGACTCGAGCTCGGGGCACCACAGCCCTGAGGACTTCTAGAACTTCAGGGTAACTCAGAAGGCAGGCATCCTGCTGGACGCAATACGGGGGGAGACAGACCTCACAGAACAGGGGGCCACGTTCTCGGGAGCTGGGGCCCAGCGTCCAGAGAGGTCTGGCAGATCCTGCGCCCCAGGCCTGACGTGGTGCTTGCCAGCAAGGAGCCTGGAAAGCTGTGGGCGCGAGCCGCACACACCCGGGCAGGCCCTGGCACAACAGCCGGGTTAGGTGCTGGTCTGTGAAGTATGGGCTCACTGCACAGCACTCCCCGGCCCCTTCCCTTTCCCAAGGAGCCCAAGCCCCAGCCCTACAGACTGGGCTCCTGGGGCCCAAGGAGGACAGACTTTCCAGAGCGCCACTGAGTGTTGGGTTCTGACAGGTTCTCTTCTGCCCTGGGGCCTAGAACCTCTCAGTTCTCACTCCCTGGGATCAGAGAGGCACAGCATACGCCCCACTTGCTGCCATGCCCTCCTCCTCCACGGAACCATTCAGATGCCAGAGGCTGTTTGTCTCCAGCGATGAGCACCTGACCCACTGAGTCATAGTTGCAAAAGCACGTTTCAGTCAATGAAGGCCCACAAGGCCTACAATGGTCCTGTGAGATTACAGTGCCTGGGGACGCTTGACGCTACAGCACAGCGTGTTGCTCAGGTGTTTGTGAAGGTGCCGGTGTCAACAACCAAAGCACAGCAAGTATGGTGACACACACACAGTCCATCACGCCTGATCGTGTTAATCACCGACCACATCATGGACCTGTGTGTTCACTGCACTGGGTCTCATGATTTTTAAGCATCCTCCTACTTCTAAAAAAAGCTTACTATGAACCAGTTGCCGTGGTCAGCAGGACAGCCTACACGCATCACAGTGCCTCCCCACCCCCCTTTTTAAAAAAGGTCTATTTATGGCCAGCGCCGCGGCTCACTAGGCTAATCCTCCACCTAGCTGCGCCGGCACACCAGGTTCTAGTGCCAGTCGGGGCGCCGGATTCTGTCCCGGTTGCCCCTCTTCCAGGCCAGCTCTCTGCTGTGGCCAGGGAGTACAGTGGAGGATGGCCCAAGTGCTTGGGCCCTGCACCCCATGGGAGACCAGGAGAAGCACCTGGCTCCTGCCATCGGATCAGCACGGTGCGCCAGCTGCGGCGGCCATTGGAGGGTGAACCAACGGCAAAGGAAGACCTTTCTCTCTGTCTCTCTCTCACTGTCCACTCTGCCTGTCAAAAAATTTAAAAAAAAAAAAGTCTATTTATTTGAAAGTCAGAGTTAGAGAAGGAGAGACAGAGAGAGACAGATCTTTCATGTGCTGGTTCACTCCCCAGGTGGGGGCCTCCGTGTGAAACCTACTGTGGCCCCAGAATTATAAAGGAGGTCACCACATATCATCCCTCACCTTTCTGATGTGGATCTTGCCATAATTTCAGAAATATTTTTAGTTACACCCTTCTTAAAAATCTCAGTTCCATTAAAGACACTCCAGGTATTTTTGCGGATGCATGGAACCCGGGTTTACAAGGAACCCAAGGAGGCCTTAAAAGTGGGTAAGTCTTCATCACCTGCTTCCCCCAGCGCCCTGCCTTTCACACTGAAGTCTTCTAGGAAAACCTGTGTGAACATCAGGCCTGGCACTGCTGTTCTGCCCCTATGTTTCCGTGTCTCCTCCTCCCATGTACCAACGCCACCTCAGTTTCCTGTGTGCCTCCTTGCCTGTCTCTCTCTCTGTACTGGAGCTCACCTGGGGCAGACCAGGTCTCACCTGTCTCAGGTGCATCAGGGCCTGGGAGTGTGGCTGTGGCACAACTGTTTTTTTGTTTAATGAATGAAATATTGCTTTGAGGCCTAGGCCTTTGCTCAGCTCTCAAGCCTCATTAGGCCATTTTTAACTTCTTAAAATTGTTTTTAAATTTTCAGGTATTTCTTTATTTGAAAGGCAGAGTTACAGAGACAGAAAGAGTGAGACCTTCTACCTGCTATTTCATTCCCCCTATGGCCACGATGGCTGAGGCTGGGCCAGGTTGAAGCCAGGAGCTTGGAACTCCATGCCGGTCTCCCACATGGGCCGCCCTTGGCTGCCTTTCCAGGCGCATTGGCAAGGAGCTGGACTGGGAGCAGAGCAGCCAGGACCGGAACTGATGCTCCCCTATAGGATGCCGGCCTCCTGGGCGGCGGCTTACCTGGCTGTTGCGCCATAATGCCTGGCCCCCATTTGGTCATTTTTAATTCACGGCAGCCACTAGCTCTCAGCTCGGATCTGCTTAGGCTCACTTCTGGTAAGAGTGCAATGAGAGCTGTACAAGATACCCACTTTTCACCCGTCACCTGCTCCCTGCTTTGTGTGAGCCGATGTCACCGAGGAGGCCTCCTGGCAATGTCCACCCAGGCTCTTTGAGGCCAGAATTCCAGCCCTGGGACTTCTCTGACAGACGTTCTCCCGCTCTTCCACACGTGGCCGCTGTGCATGATGGTATCTGCTGTGGCCCCGTGTCTGGAAGCCGAAGCCTGGAAATGACCCAGATGTCCGCCTGCAGGCCCGCAAGCGCGGCTTCAGAGAATTCAGGGGAAACGGGCAGCATGAAAACCTAAGCGTGGGGGTCACATGTCTTTGGCACCGAAATAAACTTAGCCCTTAGCTGTATTTTTGCACAAACTTTTCAAGAGCCCTGGTGTCCAGGCAGGAGACAGCGCGGAGCTGCTCTGGGATTCCTGACACGGTGTGACCGCCGAGCGCATCCACTGGAAACCAAGACGGAGACGCTGCGAGCGGGGCTGCCACGACCGCAGACGAGAAGGGGCCGGCCCCCAGCCCCAGGGCCCGAACACGCTCCCGGCCCCTTGCACAACCCTTCGCCTCTTCCCCCGGCCCCCTCGCGGCCTCGCCCGCCGGCCCCGCACCACCCCGCGGCCCTGCAGCCGCTGTTCCTGCCTGGGCCGCCCTCCTCCCCGCTCCCCTCCGCCGGGCCCACCTTCTCCGCCGGGAGCTCGGCCGGCCACGGCGCCGCACACAGCTCCGCACTGGGCTGTGCAGGGAGAAGCCGCACGGTTCTCTCCTGTCTCCCGCCTTTTCTCGTCAGGGCCGCTCAGGGCAGCGACTTCCGGGGTCGCCAGTGGGCGGGGCTACGTGCGCGCGTGCCCAGGCCCGGCCATACCCCGGTTCTTCCCGTCCGCGCGGCCGCGGGCCTCGCGGGTGTGTGAGGTGGAGGCCCCGCGGGTGTGTGAGGTCTCGCAGGTGTGTGAGGCCCCGCGGGTGTGTGAGGCCCGCGAGTGTGTGAGGTCTCGCGGGTGTGTGAGGCCCGCGAGTGTGTGAGGTCTCACGGGTGTGTGAGGTGGAGGCCTCGTGGGTGTGTGAGGTGGAGGCCCCGTGGGTGTGTGAGGCCCCGTGGGTGTGTGAGGCCTGTGAGTGTGTGAGGTCTTGCAGGTGTGTGAGGCCCCATGGGTGTGTGAGGTCTCGCGGATTTGTGAGGCCCACGAGTGTGTGAGGCCCCGTGGGTGTGTGAGGCCCCGTGGGTGTGTGAGGTTTCGCAGGTGTGTGAGGTCTCGTGGGTGTGTGAGGTCTCGCGGGTTTGTGAGGCCTGCGAGTGTGTGAGGCCCTGTGGGTCTGTGAGGTGGAGGCCGCACGGGTGTGTGAGGTCTCGCGGGTGTGTGAGGCCCGTGGGTGTGTGAGGCCCCGCGGGTGTGTGAGGCCCCATGGGTGTGTGAGGTCTCGCGGGTGTGTGGGGCCCCACGGGTGTGTGAGGCCCCGCGGGTGTGTGAGGTGGAGGCCTCGGGCCCTGCGGAGCCTCCTTCTCCGCCACCCATCCGGGTGCCCTCCCGAGGGCTCGCGGCCTTCAGTCACCGTCCCCATCAGCCAGCCCTCAAGTGGCCACCCAGTCCCACCCACCCCTGGAACACAGAGACTTCGCGGGAGCTGAAGTTTATGTAATTAGAGAACGAGAATACAAAGTTGTGAATGTAAAAGTCATACAAAGTGAGCGCCTGCTTAGACGAAGAACCACAGCACCCCATCCTGACCCCACCATGCCGTGATCCCACCCTGCCCTGTCCCGACCCCCCCCCATCCTGACCCCTGCCCTGTCCTGACCCCACCCCATCTGACCCCACCCCCGCCCTGACCCCAACCTTGCCCTGCCCTTACCCTATCCTGTCCTGACCACACCCACCCTGAACCAACCTCACACGATGCTGTGCTGTATTTTCCACACAGCAAGTGTGTTTAGCACACTGTCGTGAGCGTAGTAATGGCACCGAGACTGTGCTGGTCCCAATAAGGATTTTATTAAGCTGTGGGGAAGTTACACTTTAAAAATTTTTTTTAAAGATTTTATTTAAAAGAGGCAGAGTTACAGACAGACGGAGAGACAGAGAGGGAGCGAGAGAGCAAGCTTCCATGCACTGGTGCACTCCCCGGTGTATGTAAACCACAAAGAGGCCCAGGGAGACTCTGAACAGACTCTCCTGAGAGCAGCCGGGTGGAAGCTCCAGGTTGGCCCACCACACTCAGACCCTCCCCCAAGAGAGTTCCCAGCCAGCCCTGCGCCTGCCGGGTGTCAAGGCCCTGAGCTGGCCTGAAACAGACTCGACTCGCCCTTCGAGACCTGCATTCTTCGCTCGCGGCAACACTGGCGTGGATGCTGTGAGAATCCACCCTCTGTGGCTAAGACACATCGTGAGGAGCACTGCAGGTACGTGGGAACCTTGGGTGGTTGGTTTGCCCAGTGCGTTGTGTGAATTAGAACGTGTGACTTCCCCACTGCATAAAAACCTTATTGGAACAAACACCGCCTTGGTGCCGGTACTACACTCACGACAGACTCAGCAGATGGAAAATCTCTTTCTCTTTCCACCTTGAAAAGAATCTTTAGAAACATTTATTTTTTTGCTTTCGTTAGTCATTGTTAGTAATGTCATGCACATTTTTAGGATTGTTGTTAAGATATTAAATTTTTTCATACAAGAGCTCTAAGACTAGGGCGTTTAAAACATTAAACGTTTAAAACGTTAAAATGTTAAACATTTTGGTTATAGCTAGTGTGGCATTGGTGGTGGTGTGTGTTATCATGTGTATATGTTGTGTATCTGTGTGTATGCTATGTGTATGTGAGTATATGGTGTGAGATCTGTGTGTTGTGTGTATAATGTGTATGGTATATCTATGTGTATGGTATGGTGAGGGTATGGTGTGATGTGTAGGGTATGATGTGATGTGTGTATATGTTGTATATGTCTGTGCTGTGTTTGTATGTGATATGTATGTGGTGTGGTGTGTATATGATGATATGTATGGTGTGGCATGTATATGATTGTGTGTGTGGTGTGATGTGTTTGCATGTGGTATGTATGTGATGTGTATGTGTGTGCTGTGTTTGTATGTGATATGTATGTGGTGTGTGTATGGTGTGATGTGTGGGGTATGGTGTGGTATGTATATGATGTATGTGTATGTGATGTGTATGATGTGATATGTATGTGGTGTGGTGTTCATGGTATGTCTGTATGTGGTATGGTAGATATATGGTGTGATGTGTGCCGTCTGGTGTGGAATGTATGTGTTATGGGTGTATATGTGATGTGTGCATGTGATGTGCATTTATGTGGTATGTATGTGGTGTGTATGTGACATATGTATGTGATGTCTGTGTATGTGATATGGTGTGTGTATGGATGAAGAGTGTGTCTGTGATGTGGACCACTGGGAGGGTCCCATCCTCTGTCGAGTGAATGAAGGGTGAATGACAAATGAGATTTGACATTAACCTCCAGAACTTGTTCTTGTACTTTGTGAGTGCTGACCCCTGTCCTATCCATTTTGTGTCTCAAAGTCTTTGAGAGGTAGGGCACTGAAATTTGTTTAAAAAGATTTACTTATTTATTTGAAAGGCAGAATTACAGAGAGGCAGAGACAGAGGCAGAGAGAGAGAGAGAGATCTTCCATCCACTGGTTCACTCCCCAGATGGCTGCAATGGCTGGAGCTGGGCTGATCTGAAGCCAGGAGCCAGGAGCTTCTTCTGGGTCTGCCACATGGGTGCAGGGGCCAAAGCACTTGAGCCGTCTTCTTCTGCTTTTCCAGGCCATAGCAGAGAGCTGGATCAGAAGTGAAACAGCTGGGACTTGAACTGGCATCCGTATGGGAAGCCGGCCCTGCAGGCAGCCCCAGCCATTTAAAATTTACCACACCCAAAATCATACATAATCTGCATTTACATTTGTAAAGTACTTTGAGGTCCCAAGTCTCAATGTATTAGAATGGATGATCAGAATATAAAGACATGATCCATTTTGATGCACAGTCATGCAATGAAAACTAAAATTGTTTTAGAAATTATTTATGAGCAAGATGGGTAGATGCATTTTCCCAACCAGTCCATGTATCCATGCCTCATCATTCAAGGTTAGGTTGGTGCAGAGTCTCCATCATTTCTCTGCCTCTTCTTGTTTTTCCGGTGTAAGCCCTGAAAAGTCTTGCTCACAGAAGCAAGCAGACTTTGTTGCAGCATAATCATAGAATTCTCTGAACTCCTTCCAGGTTTTAAGGCAGGAATCAGGAGTCCAGCATCATGGCATAACAGATTAAGCCACCGCCCTAGACACCTGCATCTCATGTGAGTGCTGTTCGGAGTCCCAGCTGCTGCACTTCCCTTCTACTGCTCCTGGGAAAGCAGCAGATGATGGCCAAAGTGATTGGGCCTCTGCACCCATGTGGGAGAACCAGATGGAGTTCCAGGCTCTGGGTTTTGGCCTAGCCCAAAAGCATGACTGGCCATTGCAGTCATTTGGGAGGTGAACCAACAGATGTAAGATCTGTCTTTTTCCTCACTCTCTGTAACTACATTTTTCATAAACAAGAAAATATTTTTTAAAAAACCCAGAAATCATACAATGATAATCCCAAGAATTATATTAATGCTCTATCAGCACACATAGGCTGCATCCATAGGAAGTAGCTGGGAACAAGGATGATTTAACAGTCATTAAGGTCACCTATGTTGTCCACACCAGGATTCAGGAGCCTCCTGATTTGGGTTCCAGGAGTGAAAGGCACGCTTTATTGTCAATGGTTGGGGGGAGGACTCAGGACCACTGGGCCGCACACGCTGCTTAGCAGATTGATCACAGAATATCACCATGCTTCTCCCAGTGGAACTTGATGAAAGGACTTGTCTGCCTGTGAAGCCGCCATGTGCGATGCTGGCATCCCATATGCACTGGTTTGGGTCCCTGCTGCTCCACTTCTGATCCAGCTCCCTGCTGATAGCCTGGGAAAGCAGCAAAAGATGGCCCAAGTGCTTGGGCCCCTGCTTCCACAAGGGAGACCCAGATGAAGCTCCTGGTTCCTGGCTTCAGCCTGGCCCAGCTCTCCCTGCTGCGGCCGTCTGGGGAGTGAACAGCAGATGGAAGACCTCTCTATAATTCTGTCTTCCAAATAAATAAATAAATCTTAGAAAGTAAGAAAGAAAGAAAGGAAAAGAAACGGACTTGTCTGGGCCCCAAGGGAAACTCCTGAGCCACTGTGCCTGAAGTCTGTGCCTTCTGAACCACTTGGTAAACAGGTGCGGGTCGGTGGTCACAGCCGCCGCCAGGGCAGCTTTGAGAGGAGATCAAGGCGTCCTGGGCCACATCTCTGAGTCCTGGTAGCTGTGACGCTCCAGCTGCTTCCGTGAGAAGCTGAGACACCTTTCGGGGGAAGGCTTGCAGGGCTGCGGGGCCACAGGGTGAGTGCGCTCCTGAAGCCCGCCTGACTCCAAGGCCCGCCCGCCAGGAGCTTGGCCACAGCAGCCAGACTCAGACCCCTGGCCTGGTGCAAGCCAGCCGTGAGGCTCCAATTGTCCACAGCCCCAGCCACCTACCAGACTAGGAGCTAAAAAGATAAACCGCAATTAAAACACAAATTTGGAGATTCCATTTCAAATCAGTAAGTAGTTTCCATTTATTTTAATGGTTCAATTCTGCAAATATTGTCCACTTAGCCAAATAGTCGCTTCAGCAAATATTGAGTCTGCTACGTGCCAGGAGTATCCTGGCCCACGAGGGATTTTGAGAGGGTTCCAGCTAGCTCATGGCAGGGAGGTGTGGTGTGAGGGTACCCGCTGGCTCACGGCAGGGAGGCATGTCCAGGGTGTCTGAGCACAGCCCACGCTGGCTGCCTTCACCTTAACTCCTGCCCTGGCCTTTTGGTATCCATGGCTTTAGGCATCCAGTTTTCTCCCCTGGAAAATGGCAGGAAGAATACAGAGCTCCTCCTTCTGTGTGGGGCTGGAGGAGACAGGTGTGTAACACTCACCATTTTCACTCCTCTTCCACCCAGCACCTGGCACGCCGTCCACACAGAGGAGCAGACACTTAGCAGAGAAGGGGTCAAGAACAGTGAGTATCGTCTGGGCACAGGAACCGTGTTCTCGGCACAGCCAGCTATTTCCCCATGCAGCATTTTACTGATGAGTCTCCCCACATTCTGATACTCGGTATCTCAGCACAGCTCGCTCGCTCTCCCCCTTCACTGCTCAGTGGAGCCTCAGGGCTCACTTGCAGAGGGGTGTGTGTGTGTGTTCAGGCGTTTCCCTGCCTTTGGTTAGCAGTCTGTGGTGTGAGAATCACGGTATAGGTTCATTTTAAATCACACAAAATAGTTCCAGGAAAGCCCAGGTTTTCCAAATCGTAATTGTCGCTCCCCGTCTTCGTGGAGGAACGACACAGGATCCTGCGCTGTTCTTTTGTCTGCTCGGCCCTCCCCGGGTTTGCTGCTGGTTCTTCCCGGGTTGGCTACTGTCCCTTCCACCTCCGTGGAAGGGCGGTTCCCCCTGCCACATTCCCCACTTCCGCGGGGGAGCGGCACACCGCCGGCCGGCTCTCTCGGGGGCTGCACAGGTGTTCCCCTTAGATGTTCCCCTTAGATGTTCCTCTTAGATGTTCCTGGTGCATGCCGTCTCTCTCCTCCTTTATAGTCCTCTTCCACCAATCCCAACTCGGCTGCCCACACGCCGAGCACGCTGCTCTCCTCCAATCAGGAGCAGGTCCTGCAGCTTGTCAAGTTGGTGAGAGGCAGCTGTGTAGGAGCTGTTGCCTCCTCTCCCAGCGCCATATTGTGGGAGAGCAGATGCATAGAATAAGTCTTAATTCCAGTAACTTAGTCTAGTCCGGGTTGCTCCCCACAGTAATGACCTCATGGACAGAGCACTTCCCCTCTTGGAGAACCTCCGGGCACTGTGGGGAGCCGGAGGGCCTATCCCTGCACACACAGCCTCTTGTGGCATTTTGGGGGCTGGTGCAAGGGGAAGAAGGGGGCCGCTCTTCCCCCTTCCAAGGGGGTGGTGCAAGTTCCAGGCCCCAACACCCACCTGTATGCTCCCCTCTCCTCACCTTCTGCGAGGACTGCTTCCAGGGGCAGCTCCTCTACCACACGTTGCTGGGAGCGGCCTGCGAATGGTCCTAACAGCAAGGGCTGGGCCAGGCCGAAGCTACATGGATGGCAGGGACCCAAGTGCTTGGGCCATCTTCCGCGGCTTTCCCCGGCACATTAGCAGGGAGCCGGATAGGAAGTGGAGCAGCAGGGACTTGAACTGGCGCCACATGGGATGCTGGTGACGCAGGCGGAGGCTTAGCCTGCTGTGCCACAGCACCGGGTCCTTCCGAAGCAGTCTTCATGCTGAGTTGGATGCGCCCGTCCCTTGATCTTAGTCATGGAATAGGTATTGTCACTGGTTTGCCTGGATTCTTTTTGCTGATGGAGTGAAGAATTACAGTTTACAGAGATGAAGGAGGGAGAGTAAAGCAAAATTTATTAAAGTCCCTCTCAGTGTGCAGTGGCCCCCTTTCCTCACGGCATGGGGCTCCACCCCTAAAGCTTAAGGCTGTTGATTAATGAGCTGACCGTGATGCTCCTGATTGGCATTTTTGATGGACATCTGGGCATGGCATCCCTTTGGACTCTGCACATGTGGCTTTCCTGGTGCAATTGGTGGGTTACATTCTAATCGTCATACAAGAAGGTCTCTCTGGTGTCAGACTGGATCTCACCGAGCCTGGGCCACCAACCAGACTGTTCTGTTTGGCTGAGCTCCTGTTTCATCAGGATACTCTAAACACAAGTTAACCACAAAGGGGGTGGCCTTGGGTGGGCCTGGGTGCAGAGCAGCATCCCCGGTCTCTCCTCCTGAGGAGAGTCTCGCTCATGTCTAACTTTCTGACAGTATTGGGTTATTCAAGTCCAGGGGCCGGATTTCATGGGGCAGCTTTGTGGTGTGCTGGGTAAAGCCGCCTGTAACAGGCTTCCCATGTAGGCGCTAGTTTGTGTGCAGGCTGCTGCACTTCTGATCCAGCTTCTTGCTAAGGGCCTGGGAAAAGCAGCAGCAGACAGGCCAAGTGTTTGGACCCTGTCACCTGTGTAGGGGACCCAGAGAAAGCTCCTGGCCCCTGGCTTCGGTCTGGCCATTGCAACCATCTGTGGAGCGAACCAGGGGATGTAAGATCTCTCCTTCTGTAACTCTTTCAAATAAATACATAAATATATTTTTCCTATTTTAATACATAAATATTTTTACAACTTTTTCAGATCTTAAAGCCCAGGAACTGGAGAGCAGACTTGTGAACCCACCTGCGGGGTCCCATTGACTCTGTCCTGGGTGTGCTTGAGGAAATGCATTGCGAAGTTTCCTGCAGAGCAAATACCCTTTGTCGTGCACGGGCTTGAGGCTGTGTCCACGCCCTGGGTGGCACTGTTGCTGCCCCTTCCCCAGTGGAAAACATCAGCCCCGCTGCTGCCCTGCACAAGCGCTCCGCTCCGTCCGAGTCGGGGCAGTCTGGCTTGTGCCGCTCCCGCCCACACATCCAAGGCCACACTCTCCTCTGCGGAACATTTCTAACTCCCCAGAGCTGCATGGCCAAGTCACACGGCTATGGCTCATCTGCACACGCCCCTCTGCAAGGGGCTCCATCTCCCCTTGCCTTCCAGGCAGAGCCCCGGTTTCTTGTCCTGGTATTTCAGATGTCCCTACCTGTCTCCTCGCTGCCTTCTCACGCTGTTCTCACCTACTCAGTGCTCCTTCGGCCATGGCAGTGTCCCCGTGCAGCCTTCCTCTTCTACCTGTTGCTCAGTCACAGGGACGTGTGTGCCAAGTCCTGGGCCGAGAACCTGGAGCGTGGGGCTACATTTAGACCGGGGCCTGTGTCTCTCAGCTTCCCTTTCCCCGACTTGCTCCTTCACCCCTGCCTCCCTACCTGGAACCTTCCAGAAGCTCAGATTCTCACGGCCCCCAATTTCCAGCTAGGAAGAGTAACTCTTGGGTGGCCACTCTGTGTTTGGGGAACAGGTGGCCCTTTATGGGCTCCCAGGGGGGCTAAGCCGCCCACCGTGGCGAATTGGACCAGGGCTGAAGCCGCGGTTCAGGTGCAGGTCGGATTCCTTCTCCACAGCCTGATTCTTCGCTCGCCCGTCTCACTCCGCGTAGAGTGGGCTGTGGCGCCTGCGTGCCCCTGGGGGCGTCAGTCCCAGCCTACAGCCAGGCACCTGCTCTGACAGCGCAGCCGGTGTGAGACTTTCCTGCAGGATCAGGATTGCTCCCAGCTGCGGCCTCCTGGGGAGCACGTAGCCTGGGGGGGGGGTGTGTGTGTGGAGGTGAAGGTGATGAGCGGTACGGGTTCGACAGGTGAAAGCTGGGGCTCAGGTCGCAGGGCTCCGAGGGTTCTCTGCCCGGCTGCCTGCCGCAGTCCCCCGGGGCGGGGTAGCTGGCGTGGTGGGTGGAGGCAGCCCCAGCACCCCAAGTTGCAGACGCTCCCCAGCTGCCTCTGAGGGTGCCCAGCAAAGCTGCATGCCACGACAGGTGACGTCAGAGTGGGGCCCGACAGCTGATGGAAGGGTGGGCACCCTGGAGGTGAGGGAGGCGGCCCCCAGTGTGGGCTGCCAGCTTGGCAGTTGGCAGATGCGGCTCGACCCGGTGGAGCTGCTGGGCGGCCCTGGGAGGGAGGGGCTGCCATCATTCTGGCTTCCTGGCATGGAGGCAGAGGGAGCCCTCCGGAGGTGATGGAGCTGCACTGAACTGGAGGCAGAGGGAGCCCTCCGGAGGTGATGGAGCTGCACTGAACAGCAGGTGGAAGGTTGGAGAAGGGTGGGGAAAGAGGGTGGGGGGAAGTGCCCGGGGCGGGGGGCCAGGCAGGGTTGGGACCTGTGTGTGGGGAAGGCAGGAGGGGGAAGGGTCTGTGTGTGTGCGGCAGTGAGGTCCCGGGCAGGGACTCTTCCCCACTCCCGCGGGCTGTGGGCCCTGTGCTGGGCCCCCAGGTGCCTCTGCTGTGCGGGGGTCATGGCCGGCTGTATGCAGCTGGGTCTGTTTCTGTCTCAGCAGAGTCTGGGGGGAGTGTGACATTTGCATGCCTTTGTGCAGAGCCTGCTGTCTGCCATCCACCCTGGGTCCCATCTTGGGGCTGAAACCCCAGCTTTCCTGTGCTTGCTTCCTTCTGGCCTCCGAGACTTTTATTTCCTTAAATTTTTTATGATGAAAAACATGCAAGTACAAAAGTGGAGAGAATAGCCCAGTGAGCCCGAGTCTACCACCCAGCCCTGGGGGTTGGGGGAGGGGAGGGGAAGCTGCAAACCTGCGTCTTTGCAAAACTCTTCCTGCGCCCCCTCCCATGCCTGCCCACTCCCCAGGCGGTGTTTCTGTCTCTGCAGCAGTGCCCCTGCTCAGTGCTGTTCACAGAATCATTGCATGAACATTTGTTGAGCCCCTGTGCATGCTGGGTCCTCTCGTAGGGGCTGGGGTAGGAGCTGTGGCAAGGCCAGCAAGGACCCCGACTACAGTAGAGACAGATGGTCCACGATGAATAAAGAACAGGCCGAGGGCAGGGCAGTGAGGGGCAGAGGCCTGGCTGATAGTGCCCCATCAAGGGTGGGGCTTGGAGAGACGGGCGTGAGTGGGCCCTCTTAGATGAGGCGCTGGGGTAGGAGCTGTGGCAAGGCCAGCAAGGACCCCGACTACAGTGGAGACAGATGGTCCACAATGAATAAAGAACAGGCCGAGGGCAGGGCAGTGAGGGGCAGAGGGCAGGGGCAGTGCCCCATCAAGGGTGGGGCTTGGGGAGACAGGCGTGAGTGGGCCCTCTTAGATGAGGCGCCCAGGGGGGCCTCCCTGCCACGGTGACATCTGAGATGGGAATGACAAGGAGATGCCATGCTGTGGAAAATCTGCAGGGAACCACACCCTGGGAAGTGAGAGCAGCTGTGCAAAGGCCCTGTGGCAGAAATGAGCGTGGGTGGTGCTTGCAGGATGGGGGAGGTGAGGAGCATGCAGGGATTTTCCTCAGGGCACCCTGGTCCTCCCCAGGGCTGGGCTGAGCAGCGCGGCTCTGTGCCTCAGCACTTAGCTCCTTCAGGGATGACCTGTCTCCCCACTGGTCCAGGGTCTCATCCCCCTCCTGTTTTGCCTGCCCTTAGCCTAGCGACTGGCTCAGCACTTGGCTGCACGTGAAGCACACGTGTGTGCACGTGGGAGTGAGGAGGAAGGGAACCGGCTCTCCTGTGCAAATCCCAAGTCAACCACAAGCATCTTTGGGGCCTCCGCTTAGTCCACATGTCCGAGGAAGGGCGGTGGGGTCTTCCCACGGCTCTGGTCTCCTTCGTTCCAGCAAGGGGCTCCCCATCATGCACCCGCTTTTCCTGTTCCTCGGTGCCGTGTCCAGCGCCCACTCTATCCGAGTTGTTCATGGAGGCAGGGGATCATGGGAGTGGCGGAGCTCAGGCCCTGTCTTCTAGCAGCTTGTGTTCTAGGGCGTGGGGAGACAGCGAGGACTGAGCGAGCAGGAGCACAAGCAGAACTGCCTGGAAGTGCAGGGCAGGCTCGAGACAGTGGCCAAGGAGTGGCCTACCAGAGAGACGGGGTGGGCGCGCCGGGGGAGCAGGGAGAAGGAGTGGCCCACCAGAGAGACAGGGTGGGCGCGCGGGGGGAGCAGGGTCGCTGTTTTCTGTAGGGTGATCAGGGAGGAGGAGTGGCCCAACAGAGAGACGGGGTGGGCGCGCTGGGGGA